AATTTTTTAAAAACTTTTTTTAATTTCTTAAATATTTATTTCTTCCTTTTATTCATTCCAGAAAAGCCTTGTGGTTACTCCTTTCTTTGAAAAGTATTTTCAAAAAATTTTTAAAAAATTTTTTAAAATAATAGAAAATTTTTAAAACATTTTAAAAATAAAATATTCAAAAATAAAAATGAAAATTATGTTAAAATAAATTAATTTCCTCTATCAGGATTCGAACTTGGGAGAAAAAAGTAAATTCAAGAACGTTACCACTGCACCACGGAAGAACACAATAGTAAGTTAAAAGAAATTGTTTATATGTGGAAAAGAAAACAATGGGGATCCTAAAACTTTGGGGGCTTATAACTCGGTCCCCGGTACCATTTTGCAAAAATGGTTCGAGATTTATAATAGAAAGGGTATGATCTACATGTGTGCCAAATTTCATCCCGAAGTCCCACGGACACCCAAAACACTCTCCTTTGTGAGGATTTTTGACCTTTGGCCTTCTGAATTTCAAAAAATTTTCGCCTGCGGCGCTGAAAAGAGTGAATCCTTCTTTATTTGGTTACAAAATCCGAGCATTTCACTAAGCCCTCACGATGAGTTCGCACGACTGAGTTGCCCTTTTATCTAGCTCAACTGAGTCCCAGTAATTTAATAAAATTAAAAGGCTTAAATACAATACTGGGTTATTTGGAGGGATTTGGGTGTTTATGGGGATATCAATGGATTTGGATTTTTGGAACAGAGTGTATAATCCTTTTACCTATAAATCCTACTATCGTATTTTTTATAAAAAAGGATGTTAACCATCAATCGAATCGGATCTAGATGATGAAGAGTATTTATCTGATGATTTGGATGATGAAAATAATTAATAAATTATTTTTACACGTATTTTTGACGCAAAATAAAATTTTCTGTTAGTCTCGGTCAGTATCGTTTCTCGGTATCGGTCTCGGCTCAAAATGTTGGTATCGGTCTCGGTATCGGGTTCTTGAGTATCGGTCTATCTCGGTCTCGGGTTGGCCGATACCAGTATCGTTTTGCCCAACTCTATAAAATAGTTAAAAAAAAGATATGAAAAATATGTAGTAACAAATTTAAAAGGTGTTATCTAACATTTGTGTAAATTTCAAAGTTTTTTTTTAATTTTTAAAAATTCCAAAGTTTGACTATCAACTTAATTATTTCTATAATTAATTTTTAAATTAGAATTGCTCTTTTAATAAATTAAATTATTGAAATTTTTTTGTAAATTATTTTAAAAATTTCTTGAATATAAAACATTTTAAATGAACAAAATATCCAAAAAATTTATTTAAAAATAACACAATTAAAAAATCAAAATAAAATATGAAGGATTTAGAAGGGTAATTTTTGTAATTTATGAGGTATTTTTAAATAAGTGAGGGTAAAAATAAATATTTTTCGCAGCTTCATAAAGAGCTAATTTTTTATATAATTTCACTCATCAAAAAAATAACTGTTTCTTTTCTTTTCAAAGTATAGTACAGCAAGGCCTTTGATTGTTGCTTTGAATCTGTTGAATAAAAATTTGCTGGTGATTTCGTTGACTTGGAATTTGTTGATTATGTTGCTGTAAACGTTGAGTAAGTTGTTGGGGATCTAATTGAAATGTATTTCCTTCATTTTCAACTGGCGATTGAACTGGAGCTCCAATTTGATTTCCTTGTAGAGTATGGTTATTTCCAAGCATTGCTTCATCTATTAAAGGACCAAATGCTTCGTGAGGTTGTGGATGTCCCTCGCCTTCTTGTTGTCCTACCTATTTTTATTTAATAATTCGAACCCTTTTAAGTATTAATCTTTTTCTGGTAAATAAGTATAAGGGACTTGGATATATAATCGGATCTTAAATAACCTCTCAGCTAAATTCAATTTCTAGAATTGATATATTAATGTTAACTCTCATTATAGGGGACCCCCCCCCTCTTCCTCAATTTTAGCAAGACAGATTAACGTTTAAATGACAAAACAAAATTTATAATTTAATTTTAAAAAATAAATTTACATGTTCATGTCTTTGAGGCCTAATTCTGTCCATCTTCTTTAGACCCTAAAAAGATTTTGTGATAAATTTATTTTTAATTTATATTTTCTTTTTTTTAATTTTAAATTACTTCTCTAGATTATTAATGTTTTTTTGCTATATGTAAAAGTATAACTTGGAAAAAAAATAAAAATAAATTAAATAAAATCCTAACAACAGCTTAAGTAGCGATCTTTATGTTTACTAGATTATTTTGTTTACACCTGCAGAGAATTTGCTTTTTTTCTTGTAAATATTTGAACTTTCTCTGATCGTTTTATGTAAATACTACAAGAATATTCATCGTTATATAAATAAAAAAAACATTTTTATCGAATACCCCTCAGATATAAAGCCCCTCAGATATTCTGGCAACACTTAGTTTTAAATTTATCCCTCTATTCTTATAACATAGAGAATATTTAAATAATTAATTTAAATAAAATAACATCATCAGCCTCCAAAGGAGGTAAAGCAACAAAAATAAAAATTAAATAAATAAAAAACATTTTTTAAAATTAATAAACAAATCTTTGATTTTTTTAAAATTCACTCAACATCCCTCATTAACATGCCCGAGAAAAAATTTTTTATATCCTCCCTATGTAAATTAATAAATCAATTATTGAAAATTTAAATGTATGTAAAAAAGGGCAAAAAAGCATGTGAATTATTTAATAAAAAAATTTTTTTATGAAAATGTTCGTAAGCGTGTTTGAAAAATAGTTTAAATTAAAAGAGAAAACAAAAAAATCAGCTCTAGTTGGTGACAAGATTCTAATGTGAAATTAAATGGGCCAAAAAATAATTTATTTGAAAATAGTTTTATCTAATAAAAACTTGCTTAAGGTTATCTGGCTAAATTTAATAATTAAGTGTATCATTTGTAGTAGCATTTAAAGGTTTAGAGTAAGTTTACCTCGATTAATTCCCCTCCCTCGAATAATTCCCCATCCCACTGATGGGTCGAAATATTAATTCACCAGGGGGATTAATTGAGTAAATACGGTAGGTAAAATATTTCTGATGTTGCAATTAATTATTAACAAAATTTTCAAAAAAAAATTTTTTATAGCAAATAGATAATACAGAATGCTTGGAAATCTTTTTTAATAATTGAATAATACCCAATTAAAAAATCACATTTAAAAAATAAAAAAAAAGATATTTAAAAATATGAAGAATTTAGAAGGAATCTGAACTTTTTTTTTGAACTCTATTTTCATAATCTATGAGGAATTTTTAATTAAGTGGAATTTTTAATAAAAAAAGGAATTTTTAAATAAAAATAAATATTTTTTTCGTATCTTCTTAAAAGCTAATTTTTTTTTATAATTTTCACTCATCAAAAAATAACTGTCTCTTCTCATTTTTTTCAAAGTATAGTGCAACAAGGCCTTTGATTGTTGTTTCGATGATTTCGAATTCGGTGATGATTATGTCCTTGGAAACGTCGATTAAGATGATCGAGATCTATTTGAACTCTATTTCCTTCATTTTCAACTGGCGATTGAACTGGAGCTGCATTTTCTACTTCCTGAGCAATTTCAAACAATCTGTCATTTATTAAAGTGCCAGTTGCTACAGGATGTTCCTGATGTTGTGGAGGATGTGGAAGTTGTTGTTCTAGTTCTTCTTCCTATTTTTATTTAGTAAATCAAAATTTTTTAAATGTTAACCCTGTTAAAGTTCTAGAATTTGACGAGGATTTAGACATAAAATCGAAATTTTTTAATATGACCGCTCACATATTTTCAACTATTAGAGATGATCCAGCTACATATTTTGTATTGTAATTAAATTTTTGCATGGGAATCTTATTATAAGAGACCCTCGTTTAACAAGAGAGGGAAGGGGGGATGTTTAATGAGACTGATTAAGATAGAATAAAATTTATAATTTAATTTAAAAAGAATAAATTAAAAAAATAAATTTACTTGTCCAAATCTTCGAGCTCTGTTCATTTCCATCCTTACAGGACCCTGTAATAAAGATCTTTTTAACAAATTTGTTTTTAATTTAAATTTTATTTTTCTCTACCAAGATTCTAAATTAATTACTTTTTCTAAATTATTAAAGTTTCTTCGTTATAAAGTAGATTCTCGTTATCAAAGACTTAATTAATCCAAAGTGAATTTAAAATCGGACCTCGCCTCAAAGTTGACCCTCGACCTCGCTTTTTCAGTCTCGGTGATCCTCGGTCTCGGTTTTTTCGAAAAACCTCGACCTCGCGCAACCCTAGTTATAACGAAAGTTTAACAAAGAGAATGTTCAAATAATTAATTCAAAACAAAATAACCCCATCAGCATCCAAAGAAGGTAAAGCAACAAAAATAAAAATTAAATAAATAAAAAACATTTTTTTAAAATTAGTAAATAAATCTTTGATTTTTTAAAATTCACTCAACATCCCCCCCCTCCCCCCCCCCCCCCTCTATTCAACTACCACGAGAAAATTTTTTTATGTCCTCTCCCTCTCTTTATAAGTTAAATCAATTATCGAAAATGAAAGTGCAAGTAAAAAAAGCAAAAAGCATGTGAATTGTTTAATAAAAAAATTTTTTTTAAATGTTGGTAAGCATGTTTAAAAAATTTTATATTATAAGAGAAAAACAAAAAAATCAGCTCTAGACAAGCGCCTAAGTTGGAATTAAGCGTAACAAAAAGGGGTTAAAAACAAAAAAAACATTTTGCTTTTTCTCTTGTTACAAAACTAGAAAAGATGTTTAAACGATGGTCAGAGTTTTTTAATCTAATTTGTAAGTGGAAGGAGACCGACTGCCTGTGGTTGTGTCGATGAAGAAAAATAACACGCGATCAGTTGAAGAAACTATGACGGATGAATTGTAGTTGGAGCTGACGAGGACTGGTCAGTGACTAGCTAGGCTAGTATGATCCGAGTGGTCTGACACTGATAACAGCTTTTATACTATAATAAGCCCCCTGTTTACAATAATTGTGTCCTAACACTATAAAAGGCCTTGTTTTTCTGCGTCAATCATCAACCCTTCAGCAACTCAACTGTACGTCAACACTCATCATCACAAACATGGGCGAAGAACAACTCGTCACGCTTCAACCAGGCCAACGCTGCAACAAGTGGACCATTACCAAAAAGCTAGGAGCCGGCGCGTTTGGAGCAGTCTACCTCTGTACGCACGGTAATTTGACCGCTGCACTCAAGACGGAGCCGTTGAACGCCAATCCTCCATTGCTTGCCATGGAGGTGAGACTAAATTTTGCTTTTATTTTTCAGCAAAAAACCTTTTTTCAAGGCACAAGTACTGCAAGACCTGCACGGGATCAAGGAGGGCAAGCACTTCACCAAGTGTCACGACATTGGACGAGATACACAGATGGACCCAGCAGGCAGATCGGTCACGTTCAACTACATCGTGTAAGGAGTTTATTTTACTTTCAGTGGCGCGGATCTAAAATAAATTCCATTTTTCAGAATGGCGCTGGTTGGAAAAAGCCTGGACAAGCTGATCGAAGAGCGGCCGGGTCGACGCTTCACACCTGGCACTGCAATTGGCATCTCAGTGCAAATGGTCAACGCGATCAGGGCTCTCAACGAGATCGGCTACCTCCATCGGGACCCCAAGCCAGCGAACGCAGCAATTGGACGTGCGGACGAGAACGAGCTGGATGTCCTCTATCTTCTCGACTTTGGCATGGCGCGGAAATTCAAACGCGAGGATGTGAGAATTTTAAGGAGTAAAAAATAAATTTTGCTTCAATTTTCTCTAGGGATCTCTACGTCGACCAAGACAGGCCTCAAACTTCCGCGGCTCTCCACGCTATGCAGCCATCTCAGCACACATCAACAGGGAGTATTCCCGCAAGGACGACCTGGAGTCTTGGTTCTACATGCTCGTCGAGATATACAGAGGATCACTGCCATGGGGGAATGTCGGCGACATGAACATGGTAAACAAACCTAAAACGCTCAAATAAAATATAAAGTAAATTTTTATTTTTCTAGATCGGCGAATACAAGAAGAAAAGGCTGCCCAGCATGGACCTAGAGACGAGGAAGGCGGCGGTCAGGAGTCTCATCGATGGTTGTCCTCAAGAATTCGGCCAAGTGCTCAAACACATCGACAGCCTCAAGTTCTACACTCGCCCTGACTACAAATGGATCATGAAAATCCTCAAGGATTACCTCACCAACAACCGAATTCCAGAGAGGCCATACGACTGGGAGCAGGGCGGAGGAGGAGGAGGACGCGCTCCACCTCCGCCAAGTGGAGGTGCCGTCGACTCATTCTTCAGATGAGGAAGACTGATGATGATCGAAATACATAGATGTTCTTCCACAATAGAAATCTCTCCAACCCTCCTAATAATTTCCCCTCTCTCATGTTGTACATTTGCCTCCCTTATATAAAACTCACCTTTGTATTGTTACCTATGTTGTTTGTATTATAATGCTTGTATGTATATAATTTGTATTTGCTTGTATTTTTTGATTAAATAAAGTGAAAAAATTTTGTCTTGTTTTTCAGTAGTTTTGATTGAGACATTTAGGTCTAGGCTTTTTTCCTTTTTGTTAGAATTACCGAGCTTTTAACACAAATCAAAGTTCGATATCTGATTAGGTAGATATATTTGAGATTATTATGCCGTTTTCATGAAATTTTAATTATTTTTAAGCTTTTAAAAAATCTCTCATTTTTGATTGACTCCCACTCCTTTTTACTCCTTTTTGTGAGGATGCACCTCAATTTAAAAATTAAAAAGGTAAAGAAATAGAGAGATGGGCTTTTTGCATTTAAAATTTGCAAGGAAGAAGAAAACGGAATTAAGTAACAGACGGGATGTTCAATGGAAAAAGTGAAAGAAAGGCAGAATTCTGCGGAAGACCGAAGTCGGAAAAAGCCCCTCCTTGATTCATATACCGTATATACTCTATTAATTACCCTCCCTCAAATAATTACCCTCTTTAATAATAATAAATAATCCTCTCGATTAATTACCCTTTCCTTCTCTAATTTCAAAAATATTGAAAAAAATCGTTGTCAATTTTAATTATTGAAACATTATAAGAATCAATATCAAAAAATACATGGATTTCTTCTTCGATTTATTGAGATATACCCAAAATTTAGCCCATCCTCTCGATTAATTACCCCCTCCAGAGAGAGGTCGAAACAATAATTACCCAGGGTAATTAATAGAGTATATACGGTATGTATGTATATTCAAAGCATCCTTATTATAAATATCAAAACCAAAATAAAATTTAAATAATAATTATTATTATTCTTTAATAAATTTATAAGTTGTTGTAATTGCACAAACAAAAGCAATTAACCAACAAAAAGTGCCCCCAACGTGTAAATAAAAGGCATAACCAATTATTTGTTCCTTTAATATTTATTTTAGATAAATTAAATTTTAAATTAATTTTTAAAAATAAATACTTACATAAGTTCCAAGTATTCCTATAAAATAAAAAATAATAATTTTAATTTATTAATTTAGTAGTGGTAGTTAGTTAATGGAATCATAAATTTTTTGTGAAAAGTAAATTTAGAAAAGTTACTTTATTTAATGATTTTCAGAACTTATATTGCCCTTATTGTGTTTAGACCAGGCTAGGACACGGATACGGATTTTGGTATCCGTGTCCGGATATTTACGGCGGATACAGGCGGATATCCACAGGCATTTTGGTATTATCTGTATCCATATCCGTATCCATGACCATGTCTGGTTTAGACTAGAGGCCGGACTGGGAGTGTTGTACGAGAATTGAGATCTAGAAAAATTCTCGATCTCGATAAATTAAACACTTTATTAAATCTTTTTTTTGTTTTAAATAATTATTCGTAAATGCCATTCCTCGTTAAAATTGAAATAAAATTATTATTTAATTTTATAAAAATTGAAAAAAAATTTTAAGCCCTCGAGGACCCCAAAGTACTATGTTTCAAATTCCAAAAATTTCTTTTTTTCCCACCATTTAAACCCAATAAATTTTTTTCCTTTTTTTTCAACAAAAAATAATTAATTAATTTTTACCAGTAATAAAACGAATATCTACTCGATTTGCAGAAAAAAAGAAAACTCCATCAGACAACATTGAAAGTAACACTTTAAATTTTAAAAATAAATTTTTTTTTTTCTCTTTAAAACAAACTGGCAATAAAAAGTGAAATTGTAAAACAAAAAGTTGATGGAGGGAAACAAGGTACACAATAATCACCTGTACATGCAGCAACAAAAGCAGATAATTGGGAAAGCAAAATTAAAGTTAAAACAACCTTTAAATTAATTATTTAAAAAACTTTTTTTTAATTTTTTACTTTTTGCCATCCCCAAAAACGATGGTATTCTGTTTCTCCAAATGCCTCATCTTCGTCAGTTCGATTCTTTGAAAGAAAAATTTGTTTTGGGTACAGAAAAAAATAATTTAGGGTAAATAAAATAAATAATTTTATAAATAAAATTATTTTTTCAATAACGAGAGCGGCTGATTGGTCAAATTTGTACATGCAGTGAAGAGGAGCCTTTCAATGGAAGAGGAAAATTAAAAATTAAAAACAAAGTATGTACTTCATCATAAGAATCGCCAACAGCCACAACATGCTGAAAAACTTTAAAATTAATTTTTTTTTAATTTTTGTTTGAATTAAGAAATAAAAATAATTTTTTAAAATATTTTTACTCTTTGTAGTAATTGTAGAAAAGAGGGAAATAAACGAGAGAAAAAAAGAGTAAATACATATGAAATTTAAAAAAAAAATTTAAAAATAAACATCGACATATTTCTCTTTATTTATTTTCAGTCTATATGTATATAAAATGAATTTTTCAGTTAGAAATTCAGCGAAGAGTCCGGAGTGGTTGGGTTATCATTGACAAAACTAAGTCCAATCACACTTATTTGTTAGGTAATTGACTTTCCCGTTGTTTGAAATTTTTTTTATTTAAAATTGAGGAAAATAAATTTGAATAAATTAAAAGAAATTCTAAAAAAATTGTTTTTAAATTTTCTTTTCGAACCTTTTTAGCTCTAATACAATCCAACCAAAGCCCGTGTTGATGTTCTGTTCCAAATTCCCGAATATCAACAACCTGCCAAGCTGGAGACAATAATCCAATAATTGTTAATACAAGTCCAGCACCGATTAAAGATGTAGAAATTTTTAATAATAATTTTTGGATTGCTGGCATTTGTTTTTGTTTTTGTTAAATTATTTTTCCCTTTAAAGTTACGTAAAAAAATAATTTTTTTAATAAAAAATAATTTTAGGATTCATTGAAGACGAGAAAGGAAATATCCGTATATATTTAAATTTTATCCAGGAATCATTAACAGAAATAATAAAAATAAAGAAAATAATTCCAATAGGAAACATTTTTTAATTTAAATTTAATTTAAACTTTAAAATAACAACTTTAATTTTTTTATTTTCCTTTTTAAAATCAATTAAATATAAATAAATGTTCGCTGAATTAAATTAGTAAATTTAAAATTTTAAAATCATGACCTGTCTTTAATTTAAAATTTATATGTAACCTTATGTAAATATTTATTGTTCGATTTCAATTTCCTTTTCTTACCAATTGTTTAAAAAAAGACAAATAATATTTTTAGTTTAATAATTAATTTTTGAAAATTTTTGTATTGTTTTGTTAATAAGGTTTTGATTGAGACATTTTTAATTTGGAGGTTTTTTTCCTTTTCGCTAGAATTACCGAGCTTTTAATACATACAAATCAAAGTTAATCACGAAGATTTCGATACTTGATTAGATATATTTGAGATTATTATGCCGTTAATTAATTTGAGATTTTAATTATTTTTAAGCTTTTAAAAAATCTCTCATTTTTGGCTGTTTTCAACTCCCTTTTTACTTCTGCGAGGGTGCACCTCAATTTAAAAATTAAAAGGGGTTTAAAAGTTTATTTTATTAAAATATTTGGATTGTATACCTGGGATGGGCTTTGTTTGGCCGTTTTAAACAAGTGCAAGGAAAAAGCGGAACAAAAAAAGTAACAGACCGGATGTTGAATGAAAAAAGTGAAAAGGGAGGAATTCTGCGGGCGATCGAATTCGAAAAAAGCCCATCCCTGATTCATATATACATCAAAGCATCCTTATTATGAATATCAAAACCAAAATAAAGTTTAAATAATAATTATTATTATTCCTTTTACAAGCATTAAATTCGACATTTGAAGCTACATTAATAAAAACACTTTCTGTTGTGCTATAAGTTACTGTTGTTGTACTATTAGTTAATGTGTTATTGTCATAATCCTGTTAATTAAATTAAATAATAATATTTTTTGTTTAAAAAATGGATATTTTTGTAATTTAATTTTTTTTCAAAAACCCGTTTCCAAATACGCGTAATTTTATTTCAATATTTAGTAAGTTGGCAATGTTTTTTGTTTTGAATGGACTAAATATGTTGGACAGAAAATTTTTATAAATTTATTTTTGTTATTTTATTAAGAAAATTTTTTTAATTTAAATTTTTTTTTAATTTTTATTTAAAAAAGGAAATGAGGGTTCAGATTGTCTTTTACTGTTTTTGAAATTAATTATAAATTAAAAACACTCCACCTCTAAATTAGGTGTTGTACTATAAGTTTCCGTTGTTGTTGTTGTTGTGGTTCTACGCTTTTTAGATCTTAAAAGTGAAGAAAACATTGAAGGTTTAAAAAATGAAGATTTGGATTGAGAAGGAGAAGAAGGAGAATCAGATGGTGAATGGAAGGAGGCTGAAGGAGAATGGAATGAGGAGGAGTGGATTGGATATGTTGGACTTGGGTGACTAGAAAGTGAATGAAAAGAAGAAGATGAATGGAAAGAACTTGAAGATCTGGAACTTGAAGACGACTGAAAAATATTTATAATTAGCAATTAATTAATTTAATTTATTTTTAATTTGAAATTGGGATGACTACATATCTCCCATCCTGTTTGGAAGTTCATACCAAAATTAATGCTCGTTATACATAGTACGAGGCAAAAAATAAGATTTATACAAAGTAAATTTCCAAAAAAATTAGTCTTGAGACTAGAGTTGGAAAAGACGAGACCGATACCGAGATTCTCGGCTTTTTTCCGATATCGGTCTCGGTTTTTTATTTTCGTTCTCGAACCCGATACTGAAATTCTCGGTCCATTTCTCGGCTCAAAATGATGGTATCGGTCTCTGTATCGGGTTCTTGAGTATCGGTCAATCTCGGTCTCGGGTTGGCCGATACCAGTATCGTTTTTTCCAACTCTACTTGAGACTAGTGTCTTCTAAAACTAATTATGAATATATTTAAATATATACCTTAGAATCAGTAGCAGAAATAATAAAAATAAAGAAAATAATTCCAATTAAAAACATTTAAATTTTAATTAATTTAAACTTTAAAATAACAACTTTAAATTTATAATTTCCCCTTTTAAAATCAATTAAATATAAATTAAATGTTCGCCGAATTAAATTAGGTAATTTAGAATTTTAAGATCTTGACGTGTCTTTAATTTAAAATTTATAACTTTAAATATTATTTATTTTCAATTTTTCTTTTCTCAATAATTCTTATAAAAAAGACAAATAATTTTTTTTAGTTTAAAAATTAAATTTTTAAATTTACTTCGAAACCGAAATATCTTTTATTAAATTTTTTTCTAAATATTCATTATATTCATTACCTTCCTGTATAGGATTTGTCGAATCCTCATAACCTAAAATTAAGGAAAAAATAAAAATCTTTATTCCAAAACCAAAAATTTTTGGACTTCTCTACATTTTTATAAAAATTATTTTTAAAAGTTTAATGACCATAAAAACTTTTTAGTTAAATAAAAAAAGTTTTTATTTTATACTAAAAATAATAAATGTAAATATATTTAAAATAATTGTTAAAATCATGTCAAAAGTTTTCTTTTTAAATCTTTCCCCAAAAAAAAATAAAGCTTCTACAACTTTCTTCACGTCAAAAAATTTTTTCTTCTCATCAAAAATATACTTCTTCAAGGACGTCTTCCTGTACGGTTTTGGTTGTTGTTGTTGTTGGTGGGGGTGTTGTTATGTCCCTGGTGGTTCTGTTGAGGTGGTGGTGCATGTGAATTATCAACAATGTTCATGTCAATATGATCATTATCTTCCGGCATACGAACTAAATTACCATCAACAACATTGAATTCAATATAATTTTGTTGTTGTCGAGGTGGTGGCTGTGGGTGGTGTTGTTGATGATGTGGCAAGTTTTTAGCCGACTAGTAAAGTAAAATAATTAATAAATTATTTTAAAATAATTTGAATAAATGCTCTCAAGTATTTTCAAAATTTTTATTAAAATATAGAGGGAATTTCATAAGATGGGTGATATTTTGAAATGATAAATCTCTCATTTCTACCGTAAACTTCACAATATTTCTTTCAGCTGAAGAGAAAGAGTTAATTAAAAATTTTCATTTATTATATAAAAATAACAAGAAATATCGCCTAAAAAGTGTTACAATTACCTAATTAATTTTTAAAAATTATTACCTCATCTTTTGGAAATTTCCATCCCTGTTAATAAAAATTAAAAATAATTATTATAATAAATAATTTCCATGTTCAAAATATCTCCCAAAAATAACGAGAGATTTTAAATAATTTTTATATTTTTACGTTATTTCAACATATGTATTTATATCATTGAAACATAATAATTCCTCATTGGCTTAATAAAATACTATTTTTATATACCCTCAGATCCTAAAAAAGTATATAAAAACAAGAATCGACTAAGTACGATTTCCAATCTTATCTTTTCTTATCTTTTTTAATACTTTTGTGAAATTACAAAAGAATTCAACAGTTTTAAAATTCTTTTATTTTTTTAAATAAATATTTCTAAATTACCAACATTTATTTCCAAAATTGTAGAAAAAATAAAAATTGTAAGAAAATAATGAACGATAAACATTTCTTTTAAAAATATAAATAAATCTCAAACTAAAAATAATATGTACATTCATTAATAAGACTAAAGAGCAGCTTCGATGGTTGAACCAAAATTCGTACTCGTACATCGTATTTGGAACGAAGTAGGATTACGAGTAAAAATAGAAAAATTAAGAAGTGGCGCGAGAACGAAAATAGAGGAGCTATGATTATAGGCAAAACTGAAATTTCGAAGCAATGCTTAAGAGAAGCTACCGTATTTACTCTAGTAATCCCCCAGTCTTTATTAATTCCCCAGTCTCTATTAATTCCCCACCCTAGAGATGCGTTGAAACAATAATCCCCCTGGGGAATTACCAGAGTAAATACGGTATGCTTAAGAGAAGCAATGCTTCGAAGCAATTTTACTTTTATTTAAAAATATAGAAAGTGCGATAAATTCAAAAATTCCATAAATTAAAAGACTAAATAAATATAGTAAATTTACATTGTTAAATAAATAATTTTAGAATCTTTTACCAAATTTAATTTAACTTTAATTAGAGCCCCAACTCATATCCCCGACATTTTATTCTCCAACATTTCCCGTTCCCGCAGAAAAATAAATAGTTGGCAAATTTTTGGCCTTATGATTCTTGGACCCGTCAATAAATAAATATCAATATTTCATTTAACCGGAAAATTTTTTCAATCCCTTTCTGGTAACTTTAAATAAAGATAAGTTAAAGGAAACTAAAAATATGTATTAAAGAAAAAATAAATAGATATTATTTTTTAGATTATTTAAAATAATTTTAATAGAAAATAATAAGTAATAAAAATTAAATTTTAAGGTATTTTAAATAAAATGTTAAAAAAATTTTTTTTAATTTTTAAATAAAATATTTTAATTTTATAAAGAAAAATAAAATCTTGCGAAATCGGTAATCAATTTATTGGGGAAAAATTATTCAATAAATTTTTTTTGTATTTTTCTTTCTCTTCCTCACTCTTATAATCATTTAATCAAGCTGATTAAATCAATTTTTTTATTTAGATATTTACATTAGAGTTGTTATTTGCGAGGAGGGATAGGCAAAAAATGGATAATCAGGGAGTCGAAAAGGAGAGAGAGAGTTAGCGAGAGAGGGAGGACCATAACACAAAACACAGCCTTAGCACCAGAACAGACTATAGCTGCTAAAGTTAGGAGGTTTGAGGATCCTGGGAAATCCCCGGATATCCAAATCGGAATCCAAACCAAAAATTATGCTTATCAACGTCCAGAAACGAGATCCAAACTAGGTAGTGAGTATTGAAGATGAGGGAAGGGGGGATTTGGAGGGATGAAGTGTGATATCGACGGATCTAAATATCGAGGGTTCTTGGGGATATCAGGGGATTTTGATATCCTTCGATTATAAATCCCTCGATATCTCCTCAAAATCCTTTTAAATAGGTCAAATTTCTTCCTTTTCAAAATTTTAAGAATTTTGGAAGGCCAAATAGCCAGAATTCTTGGAGAAAGGAAGGAGGGGGAGAAAACGGCTTCCAGTTTTATTTACCTTCGTATAAATGAGGGATTGCCAACATTTCCTTTTTATTTATTAAATAAAAACATAGACATAGCCCAAAAATTTTAAATTATTCGAATTTAATTACCATTTAATTTAGACTGTCAGGAAGTGTTCAATGAGATTTAATTTTGTTTATTTCTTAAAGTCTCTAAAATTCTGAATTTCTATTTTTGTTTTTAGGATATAAGAGGTTGTTTGGAGATTAACCTATATGTATGTACACAATTATATTAAAAAAACTATGTTAAGATTTAAATATTTTAAATATATTAAATATTTCTATAAAAACTAAAAAGTTATATTTTTTTAATTTTTAGACAAATTAAAATTAAGGAAAAAAATTTCAGGTTAAAATTTAATATTTTCTCTTAATTATTCTAATAAAGAAAAAAAAGAAAATTTAAATTTTATCTACTAGAAAAAAATAACTTCGAAAAATAATTTTTAACACAACTAAAGATAAAAAAGAAGTTTTTTTTAAATATGCTTTACCAAAAATGAAATACATATGTATGTATAGTTTTTTAAAAAAATGTCAAAGGGTTCTTTTAAATTTACGGTAAAAGTTGACTTGTAAATAATTTCTAATTTTTTTGATCGATTCTAAATAATTTTAAATTTTTGTAATTTTAATTTAATATTTAATTTAGAATTAAATTTAGTTAATCCCTCCAAAATTGTTTTGAAAATAATTTTTAAAAAATCAAAAAAAAAAGTAATTTTCAGCTAAAATTGTGCATTCCTATTAATTTTTTGTAATATTTTGTTATGTTTTTCTAAATTAGTTTTTTTCCCTTTTTTATAAAGAAAATATCCTAAAATTCATTTATAAAAGATAAAACATTCAGAATCGCTCAAGTGTTGGTTAACTACGAATAAAAAAAATAAAAATATTTAAATATCTCAATTCAATCTATGGAGCAAATCATCAATGTCCTCTCAATGTCCGTGTTGATTATTTGGACGGTTTTGACGGGTATTAACTTCCCGACGGACATTTCCTTCTTCATCTTCACGTACATTTATTCGAAAATTCAGTTCTTCTTCAGTAGGTTGTTGATGACCTCGATTAATCCCTTGAAGATTAACAACTCCTTCATTATTGTCTTCAGGATCTCGAACTCTTGCTTCTATAGTTAAACGTTCCTGTTCTCTTTGAGGTCCTCCCTGCTAAAAATTTTAAAAATTAGGAAGAAATTCAAAATATTCTCTCAAGAAAGGGGTTAAGTAGAGGAAGTTTTTGTCAATTTTTCTTTCCATTGAAGTGAAAGAGAGTTAAATTTAAATTTTTATAGTTATAACCCATTTATAATTTATTTATATGTTATTTTTAAGAAATGACCACAATTACCTAATAAATTTTTAGAAATTTACCTCTCTTGGTGGATTTCTTCGTCCCTTTTAATAAATTAAATTAACTTTTTTTAATTTTTTAAAATTTCTATTCGGTAATATTTCCCTTTTAATAATTTAATATGCTTAGTCTAATTTCTTTCAGTTCCAAAGGGGTTGAAAGAGAGATTCGGAAAACAAGATTCAACTGTTTAGCAGAGGTGGTCGAACCAGTCAGAGGTTTAGGAAATCGGAATTCCGACCCACCTCTGCTGTGTATGATAGAAATTCGGATGCTCTTTTTGGATGTTTTTGAGCTTTAAAATTCTTTTTTTTTAAATAATATTTCTAAATTACCAACATTTACATCCAAAATTGAAGAAAAAATAAAAATTGTAAAAATATAACGAACGATAAACATTTTTTTTAAATAAATTTAAATGTTTTTAACTAAAAACTAATTTAATAAAACTTTTTTTATTTTCCTTAATTTTAAGTAAAGGATAACTTAAAGGGAAACATTTACAGAATTAAATTAAAAAAATATTATTTAAATTATTTAAAATAACCCTCGAATTTTTTATAAAAACATTTTTAAATAAAAATTTAAAAAAATAATTATTTTTTATTTTTTGTTATAATTAAATAAATTTAAAAGTCTCTATGTAAAAATGATTTAATAAAGCTTCCTCTTCAATTTTTATAAGGAGTATCTAGAGAATAAATTTTATTGTTTAAAAAATCCAATAAATTAAAAATTCAATAAAGACGTTTAAAAATTTTTTAAGCGTTTTAAATGTATTGGATTTTTGAATGGAGAGAGAAAATTGATTTTTAAATTTTTTTTAAATTAAATATTAAATATAAATTAAATAAATAAATATAAAATTAAATTTTAAAAAATAATAATAAATTTTTCCATAAACAATTTAAAGTATAACACAACAAGGTTCTCTACGAGGGCGGATATGTTGAATTGTAACAGTTGTATTTAAATGATCCCCTTCCTGACGTTCTTGCTGTTGTTGTAATCCTTGTTGACCTGTTTGAGTTCCCCCAACATTTCCCCCTTCTCTCCCTGCCCGTCCCCCTGGCGGCCCACGCATATTTAATTCAATTACAAAATCCTCTCGCTGTTGACCAGGTAAAGTATTCTTAAAGTTAATTTTTAATTTTTTTAAATTAATTTATTTTATTACTTCAGTTGTAGATGAGGAAGAAGGTTTTGCAACGTCTGAACGCCTCACAGTCTTAAAAATTCAAATGCTTTTTTAATTAGTGGCGACATAAAAAAAATTTTTTTTTTAATTTCCGTTTCTACACTTATGTATCAGCTCTCGAATTAAAAAAACAGAGGATTTTTTCTCTTCGATCCCTCCGGTTCTGGATATTTTTCCAATAATCGGCAACCCCCCCCCCCCCAGTAAATTAATTTATTAAATATTTGAATAAAAAAATATTTTCTTTTAAAAATATAAATTACCTCTTTTGCAGTTAAAAATTTTATTAAAATTGAAATAAAAATAATTTTTATAATAAACATTTTTACACAAATTTATAAAAATAAACTGAAATAGCTAGAAAAATTTCAAGTTTTAATAATAAATTGAAGAAAACCAAATATACTAACCAACTTAACCTTCCCTACCACATCCAAAAAATTAATTAAAATAAACAGGAAAAACCCCTAAACCGTGAATTAAGGCAAATTATTTTCAAAATAATTTCTCAATGAAAAATACCTCAAAAATTTCAGAAAAAATAATTATCAGGTTTAAGGATGTTATTTAAATAATTTTTGTTTAAATTTAAAATAAATTTTTTTAATTTGTTTAAAAAAATGTATTTATATAAAAATAAATTTAAAAATGCCCTTTTTATTTGCCCTTTTAATTATTTAGAATAAATTATTTTATTTAAATTAATGCACTTTTAAAGAGTGTCGTTGCACTTTTTGAGAATTCTTTTTTGACTATTTCCTTTGATTGGGCAATAAATATAAAATAAAAATTAACTAAAATATATCGGCTATGGATAAAGTGAAAAGTTGAGGGAAAAAGCGAAGTTATTATTTCTTAAGTAAATTTCCGCTTTACATATTGTGTAATTACTTTTAATTGTTTTTTTCCAAAGTAAATTAAATAATGGACAAAAAATTCAAGATGATTAAAAAATAGAATTAAATTTCAACATTTCAATCAAAAACAAATACCGATTGGCATTTACTAACGAATCTTTTGATTAATTTAAAAATAGAGAAAAGTCCACAAAAATTGTCCTGATAGTAATTGATAGTGCCGCCATCAGTGAATGTGTAGTACACAACTAATTAATTTTTTTTAATTTTTAAATTAAATTTTAAAAAATCAAAATACAGGGAATTAAAAATAAAAAATAAAATTTTGGTAATTTTCAGTTTTGCCGGGAAAACAAAAATTGTAAAAAAAAAACTGTTACAAACTTAATTATTAAAACTAAGTAAAATTTTTCTAAAAATATTTTTTTATTTAAAATAACAAAAGAATAAACAAGCTAATAAACAAAATTACTAATATATTTTTAAGTAACAAATAAAGAAGATTTCAAAAATAAATTCAAAAATTTTCATTAAATTTTGACAATTTAAAGAGTACATGGCACAATAAAAACAAGGCCTGAGTCACCTCCACAAAATGTAAGCCCCACTGTGTTATAACTGCAATCTATTACAGTTAAAGATTCTAAACGACGATCAACACATGTTTCGGGGAAAGAACGGCCATTTACACGTTCCTAAAAAAATAAATAAAATCTTGAATTAAAAATAAAAAATTCAAATCCTCAAAAAGGAACGTCAGGGTTAAAAAGCTCTATTTTAAAATTATCATTCTTTAATCAAACTGAATTACGTCATCATTCGTTCCTCAACTAATCATTTTAAAACCTAAACACAACCAACTTAACCATCCCTACAATACATCGACATTCAAAAAATAAACTAAAACAGAGGACGTATTCATCCAATAAATATTACGAGTCCACCCATGAAGACCTACACTCTCTAGACCTCCACCCTGAAGACTCTCTCCTACTCCCATTTAATCCCTCTTTTTCCCCTTTAATCCCTCAGATTCATCGATTAAAATGTAAAGAAATAAACGATAAAAAATTCGAGTTGATCAAAAAGTTGTAAGTAGGTCTTCAGGGACAACAGGTTTTCAGGGTGTAGGAAAAACCGGAAAATATTTCTAATAAACTAAAATTTGTTGATTGTATCATTTAAAAATACTAAAAACTAATTAAAATCAAAAAAATATCATTAATATACATTTTTTTGTTCCAAAATAGCACAATCCCCAAGTCTAACTTCCAAAAATTTTTCTGCCAAACAATCAACGTGTGAATAACAAAAAGTGCTCTGAAAAAGAAAAAAAAATATTTGAAATTATTTAATAAAACTATAACCTTATTTTCAGCATTATCGTCTTCATAATTTATTGGAGTATTTCGATGAGAGATTAATTGAAGAAGTGCCCTTCCATGCATAAAATTGTCTATATCAGTTACTTTAAATTAAAAAAAAATAAAATTTTTAATTTAAAATTTAAATAAAACCATTTTTAGGGGCCAAACGCCCATTTAATGAACTAAACATTCTTCCATCTGCTCCAACGGATGAACAAATTCCGCTAATTGGACAAATACAAGCAGAATTTATACGAATTTGATGACTAAAGAACTTCTTAGTTCTCGAAAAATTTTTTAAAATTAATTACCAATTACTCAAATTTGCAGCCATAACGAAATCAATAACCCTGTCATCATTGTCAGAAATTTTTTGTTGTAAAGATAAATAACAAAGTGCCTTTAAAATAATTTTTTCTACAAAATTTATTTAAACAAATAACCTGTTGTTGAGTTCCCAAATAATTAAAAGAATATGAATCAAATGTTATAGCACCAGAAAAAATTAATGGGCGTGTATTGCAAAAGATGCCTGAACCTTTGGCTGACTCACATTCTAATACGAGACGAGTTGAATATGTTGACTTAAATTGTTAATTAAATGGTCAAACATTAAGAAGCCAATTTCATTATCCAAAAAATAAATTTTACCGTTTCGTCACTAGGACTTTCAAGCTTGTGGACGTTAAATTGTCGATTTCGGTAAGAGACACAAACTGCAAGTTGTTAGTTTAAAAAATATAATTTAAGTAATCTCAAACTTTTATCTTTCTCCAACCATCCAATGGACATTGGAGGTGACAATAATCCATCATTTGGAAAAGTCCAAAGAGGTAATGTTACTTCATTTGAATCGCCAAAAATACTCCAAATATAAACAAACCCTTAAAAAATAAAAATTTAAATTAAATTAAAAAAATAAAAAATATAAACATGAAGCAGAGATTGCTGCAATATGTCGAGAACCATCAAAAGGAGACCATTGTACTTTAAGTAAAGGAATTGAATCAAGGCCTTCTTTTAATGAAGAAATCGCTGGAATATTTTTAAAAAATTATTTTAAAATTTTTTCTAAATTAAAAAAAATAAAATATTTCTTTTAACTGCCTCAGAGATCCTAAATCTTCAAGTACATATTAAGACGGCAGTTCCTATCAAAATGTTCAGGTTCATCACTGGCAGTTAAAACAAAACACACAACAAAACCACTTAACCAAGACAAAACTTATTAGTTAAACAATAAATAGGAAGTTAAAAAACTTAAGAACATAACTAGAGAATAAAAGAGAAAACAAACCACTATTCCTTTTAACATTTCCTTCTTCTTTCGCTTCCATTTTAATATTTCGTAAAGGAGCATGACAAAGTGTAAGAAGAGGGACTGATTCGAGAACAAGTGGAGTTTTATTTTCAGTTGAAGTAGACGAGGAACATTGATGGGTATTTATTAGAGAATCCAAATCAGAAGGAAAACTAAAAAATTATTAAAATAAGACTCACTACAGGATATCCAAAAAATTTAGCATTCCTCAATTTATTTTTGAAATTTGGTTTGCCATTGGATGGATTGCATAAACGATACCCCTATGTTAGACCAGACCTTAATGTTTTTACCTTATTTTTACTTAATATGAGGTTCGAAATATTTTTAAAATAAAATTTAAAAAATTTTTAATAACCTGTAAATGTGAATGCGACCATTAGATGTACCAACAGCTAGAAGTCCCAAAGATTGTTCAAAATTCATCTTCAAATTTTTATAATTATTTTAAAAAAATATTTAATTAAACCTCTTTCCCATTAGAAATAATTTCATTTTTAATTAATTTTGGACACCATGAAACCGAACAAATTTGTTTTGCATTGGGAATTCGAAGAAGAAAAGCCAATTTTGGAGATGAATCGCTTTAAAAATTAAATTTAATTTTTAAAAATCCAATAAAAATAAACTTTGTTTGAGTTTCAGAAGTTAATTTTGCATTAGTTGTCCATATTTGAAGGTAAGAATGGCTGTCTTCAATGAGCGTACAATCAAGATATTTTTCATCAGCAAATGTTGCTACTACGAATAATTCTCTGCCTATAAAAATTAATTTAATTATTAAAAAAATTGATTTATTTTCTAAAAGTAAACAAGAGATATCCCAACAAGGAGGTATCCAAAGGGGTTAATGTTGAAAAAAAAGTAAAAATTTTATTATTGAGGTTTACTAATTTTAAGAAAATTTTTTTGATAGACCCTTCGTAAAGAGAATATATAAATTATTATTTTAACTGTTTTAACCTATTTATTGTCTAAAAATACATTATAATTCAATTTTAAATAAATATTGTAGTGACATATTTACCGACAATTCAAAAAAAAATACAAAAATCGGCACCTTATGTCACAGAAGTTTTATTAAACTTAAAATTTTATTTTGCAATATTCGGCAAAAGATTGGGGTTTTTAAATTTAAACATCCAATCATTGGCAATATTGCGAATAATTTTTTAGAAAAATCAGAAAACTCCAAATAAACCTTTACCATCAGGTAAAGCTTGCGGACAAACAGCAATAGCAGCAATCGGCCCACCACAAAATAATGTTTGGACAAATTGTCGATTTGATTTTATTTGTTTAAGTTTTTGATGATCAATTCTGTTTTGATAGACTGAATTTAAACCATTTTGGCCAGGTATTAAAGAATTGTATGTTGTAGTTGTTTGTTCTGTTGAAGATGGTTTTGATGGTAATAAATTATTGTAAATATCGACAACCTTTTAATAAAATAAAAAATTATTATGAAATCAACTTAAAGATAATAAATAAGCCCGAATTAACAAAAAGCAGAACCTGTACGAGAGAAATAACGAGGGTGTTTTTCGGAATATTATTAAAACCACGAAGGTTAATACTCTAATAAACAAAAACAGGTCCAATAATATCCAAAAAAGCTATTGTCCAGCAAGAAAAATATTTTAAAACATCAAAGACACATTCGTTAAAAAAATAAAAATTATCTTACTTGAACGCTCACAAATCGTTGTACAGCTGGTGATACATCATAATCAAAAGGAAATGTTTGACCAGAGAAAATAGGGATACTAATTTGTTTTACACTTGAAACAGGTAAATCAACTCCTCCATTTGTGTCAGATTTTGAATTTGATCTGCCTGCTTCTTTTCTCTAAAAAATAAATTTATTTAAAGAATTTATTTTTAGAAACCTTAAAAAGTGAAGATTTTGAACCATTTTGAATTTTTTGAGTTTGATTTTGTTTGTCGGTAGTTGCGGAGGAAGACGAAGTTTCCTCTAATGTTGTTGTGCTGGGCATTTCCTTGGATGAATGAGATCTTTAAAAGACATTATTTTAAAAAACATTGTAAATTATTAATATACTCATCATGGAAAAATTCGATAAATTAAAAAAATTTTAAAATTCCCACCTTTTTGATGCTTCTTTTGCTTTAGGATTTTTTGCTCTGTCATTATTGGAAGATAAATGTGGAGTATTTGTTGAAACAGGAAAAGTAATTCCATGAGTAAATTCAGTTGGAAGAGAGAAATCTTCAACCTAACAATAAATTTAAAAAATAATTTTTGAAAAAATTTTTTTAAATAACCTCCAATTTTACTGTTTTCTGAAAAGAATTTTTTGTTGATTTGGATTTTTGTTGTGACTTTTGGTTTAATGAGTTGTTATTGTTTTTAAATTGAGTTTGGGGTGTTTTTTGAATAGTTGAATCAAATGAAGTTGATGGAAGTGAACTGGATGCTAAAAAAATAATTTTAAAATATAGGAAAAAATCAAAACATTACCATCAATTAAAGCAGAAGACATCGAATTATTAGTGCTACGTCCTTTACCCTTTTTCATTTGATTGATAATTGAAGAAGTTGCTTCTATTTGTTTAGACACCAAGGATTGTAAATGCTCGTTTACAGTTAAAGCTTTAAGAGAATTTTTAAAAAGACTAAAGAAGCATTGAAAATTTTTTACAATTTCTCTCGATTGGTTCAGCTAATGGAGTTGCCAAAAGTCTATTGGTTCTTGATAAATCATCCTTTCGAGGTCTTCCTCTTTTTCTAGGCAATCTAAAAGGCAAAGGTTGACGTTCAATTGAAACTTAATTTTGAAGAAAAATTATTTTAAAAAATTCAAATTCACCAGGTTTTTCCATACTTTCATCATCCCCAATAGATTGAATTCCATTGGGGACTGAACCTTGAATAATCAAACCAATTGAATGTGTGCCTAGCCATCGAGTTAAAGAAGGACTCAACTCGTCAATTCTTTTCCAACAAGAAAATTCTGGTTTATTTTGAGAAGTGGAACAAATTGTTTTCATTCTAGATTGACAAAATTGTGATAATGTTTGTCTACCAGATTGCACATTCTTAAATTAATGGATATAGGAAAGTGATGGATTCAAAAAAAGGAAATAATATTGCGCCCTTACAACCAGTACTTTATTAAAATAATATGGGAAAATAAAAGGCATCTCTGGAGTTTAGTTGGTAAGGACGCAGACTACGAATTGAAGGACCCGGATCGGGAATTCCCATTCCCGGTTGCTTAAAAAAACTGGGAAACGGGACCCGTTCCTATCTCTAAATTTATTATAATATCGAAAATTTATGAACGTTGCTAGGATTTAAACGTTTTGCCCCTCCCCAAAAATAATTAAAATAAAAACCTTTATTTCCTCCTCATTTAAAAGATTTAAAGAATTATTGTGTGTTTGTTGCACAGCAGTCAAATAACGGACAATTTTTGAAAAATCTGGTGCACATGCTTAAAAATAATTATTTACTTAAAAAAGATTCACAAACCTTTATCACTATCATGGTTTCTAAGGCGCTTCATTGGAACCTGAACATTAACATCATTGCCTTCTTTATTGTTAGTTTCATTGTTTATTCCAGTTTTGGAAGTATTTCCCAATGATGGACGAACTAAACGACCGCTGGATGTAGCAATCGCTGGCTGTTTATTTAATTTTATTTTAATTTAATATTCTTTAAAAATAACCTCAAATTTATCATCCTCCTCATTAGATTCAAAATTTTCATCAGAATCTTCACTTTTATCGCTTCTATAACGCAATTTCTTTGGAGTTGACATAAATAAAATATTTAATAACAATCTAGAAAAATAAATAGCTATACTATTACTCAAAGCTTATACTCACGAAAAATCAATTTCCTTAGCGGCATCGAACCTTACACTAAAAGAGGAGAAGAAAGCAAAAATAGGCAGCCATTGCAGTCTGTTACGCACGCATAACTAGGGTCCCCACAAGATCAATTACACAGAAGACCCCTTGAGATCAAATTAGTAAAAATAGTCAGAAAACGTGTCCCTTTCCAAATCACAAGAAGGGGGCGAAATGGTAAAAAAGGATGCATTACATATTTTAAAAACTTAAAAATAATTAAGCTTTTAAATATATGTAAATCATTATTCTGCATATGTATTTTTAATAGTTTTAACTATATCTGCTGTATAGAAATCTGAGAATTTTAGAAGGCTAACAAGCCAGAGTTTTTCCTTTTTAGCGCCTCAGGCGAAAATCGTGAGAATTTTGGAAGGCCAAGGAGCAATGTAGAAAAGAGGGGAAAAAGGGGCGATAAGGTAAAAAAGGGGGCAAATGACTCCCAAATGAGGTAAAATTGACACACTGCGCGACAAACATAAAAGACGATTACAAAACAAAACAATTTTTATTTAAAAAGTTTAAAAGTTCTGATTTGAAGATTAATTAAACTTTTGTTTTTCTCCCATCAAAAAGCTATAACCTAAAGGAACACAAAGACAATCTGGTAAGTTGGAAATTTGATTTCGACTTCTAAAGTCTTTACAACCGCCCTTACAAATTCCCAAAAGATCTGAGCACATTCCGCGGGCCTGATCCCAACCACAGCCACGGCTCTGAATTTATTAAGTTTTTGAAACATTCAATTTTGTTTTTTTCCACCTGAAAATTCTCACGGTCAAACAGCGAATCTCTCAGAAATTGATTAGCTACAGGCGAATTAGCCATAAATGGATAATTTCCAAATCCTCCTATTTGAGGTGACCAAACATTATTTGCCGTTCCATAACCATAATAATTATTGGGGCCTTTAATTTTTTGGGTTTAAAAAGAATTAATTTGCAAAAATGCCTGGGATCAAATGTCTCTGTTGAGAATATGATGAAGGATTAAATGGATAATTAAAAGTTAATGAAGATGTAGGTGGATGTCGGGGAAAGAACGTTTCAAATCCGCTCTCCACACCACGGGAAAATGAAGGCCCATTATTATTTATTGGAGGGGGATACAAAAATTGTTTATTTCCATATTCTTGAAATAAAATTTTTTTAAATTAATTTGTTAAGAATTTTTAAACTGACGATAGTCAAACATATAAGGATTTTGTTGCCATTGCTGTTGGGGTGACCAAAATGAAGATTGAAAAAATGGTTGCCCAATTAAATTTTTAAAACAAAAGGAGGACAGAATAATTATTAAATAAAATTGGAAAATAAAAATTTTTGTAAAAAATTGAGGGAAATTGAGGAAAATCATTGAGGGAAAATAGAATAACTATTATTTTTACAATCTCGTCAACCCCTCACAATACCCGACTGTATGCCCTAGTTGCGCCATAGAGGGATTAGCAACAACAGCTTAAAATGAGAGAAAATTGCCTCCTTTTACTAATTCGTTCTGTGAAAAATAATTCCTATTTTTACACTTTGTCTCAATAAAAATTATTGAAAAAAAATATTTTTTTGAAGAACCGACCATGAACATTACAAATTTATTTTTTAGTCATGTTGCCAAAATTATAAATTCACTTTTACTTATCACCTAACAAGCAAACTTTACTATTTATATATACACAATAAACATTAGAGACAATACATAGATAATAGACAAATTCAAGTTTTTGGGGACTACAAAAGCAACAACAGTGAGTTTGATGTTTAAATAACAAACTCAAGATTTTAGGGGAATACTAACACAAAGAAAACAAATTTCAGAGATGTTTAAATAAAAGCAATTTAGGGGTACACAAAACAATTTTTATTCTTTCCAAACATTCCTCTGTTCATCAATTCTGTTGTTGCAGTAGTTACTTCTTATCGAATATCCCTTTCGTGTCTATGTCCGCTAATGTTTGATATGATCCCTGATCTGTAAAAGAAATAAAATTTTGTTTAAACCCTCTAAACAGATTAAAACACACCCGCCATTCCCGTCTTCGTGAGATCGACCTCTTTCTTCGACTTCTTACTGCCTTCGCTGTCCTTTTCACTTCTTTTGCTACTTTCTTTGGCGCTTTCTTTGACGCTTCCCTTGACGCTTCCCTTGACACTTTCCTTGCCGCCGCCTTTGTCACCGTCATCCTTGGAGATCTCGATTGCCTCATACAGCGATGGTTCTTTTTCTGTAAAATTAGAATTGTATATTTTAAAACTACAAAATTCTTACGCGAAGTTTTCGATGTTGACTGGGCTTTAACAGCAGAAGCGACAGCTTGTTTTGACTGCACCGCCGCCATCGACTGCATTCCCTTAGCAGGCATCATAATAACAGTCGGAGTCCCTCCAGGCACCGTCGGTGGAAGAAGCACAGGGATCATTCCAGGAGGCATCTGCATATTCTGTATTTGAAGCATCGTCTGTTCCGTCAACACGGTCTTCATTGGATCAGCGGCGGTTGTTGTTGGCGCTGCTGCAGGCGTTGCTGTAGGCATCGATGGAGTCGTCGTCACTGTTTGGGCTGTCACGACTTCCTTTGCCGGTTGCTCTTCGGTTTTACTCTTAGTCCCCTTGGCTTTCTCCTTTTTACCAGCTCCCTTTTTCTTTTTGGCACCCTCCACTGCAGGCGCAGGCTTCTTTTCTTCTGCAGGCGGCGGAGGTGGTTGAGCTTCCTGCGCTGGTTCCGATTTTGTGTTTCCTGCTTTCTTCTTTTTATTCTTCTTCTTGCAGCATTGCGCCATAAGCAAAATTGCTGTTGCGACAAACATCACCAGCACCATCGACTCGGCGTCAAAAAGCATCAGATGAACGACCAGGTCACGAAGTAGCATCATTGCTAAAAGAAGAATTAATTACCCGACGAAAACTTTTAGTAAAAATGAAAACTTACACAAAATTGTTGAGCAGTAGAACGTTTACGTGTCGAAGTTTAAATAACGCTAATTATTTCTCGACTTTTATATGGCTTGAAAGGACTGTTTTCACCTCGTAGTTAAAATACTATAAAAGTTAATGCATTTTCCGTAGGATTTGCAAGGCCAATTCGTCAGATCCCAAAGTATCTACGCTCATCTTCAACTCATCCGCAGGAGGAAGCAAACAGCATCATGGGAGAACGTAACGTCGACTTGTCTGCCTACGTGCCGCCGGACGTCAGGAACACTGGAGCACTCGGTGGTGGGCAACTCCAAGTTGAGCTCGACGATGAAGACGATCACTTCGGCGGCGGTCCACCTCGACCACCTCAGGCAAGTTTTATCACATTAAGGCTTCTCTAATCCTCTAATTATTTTGTTTTTTCAGCAATCTACTCCGAAGCCGCCTCCTCCGCCGCCGCCTGCCCCGGCGAAGCCGAAATACTCCAAACCGTCGAGCTACACCAGCTACCAGGCCGGGACAAGAAGGTAGATGTAGGAACAGAGCTGCCGGAACTATAGTCCTGTGAAGAATCCAAGATGTCCAATTGTATCCATCGATAAATTCCTTCCCCGCTGCATATATGTATAGTTTGCTTGTACCCTCATTGTATATATAATCTAAATAGTCACATTGTATGTTTAATCTATTATGGAATATTTTTTGCTAATTGTATGTGATATGTAATTTCTAGTTGTAATTTATAAACATTGTTGAATAAATTCTGTTGTGATTTGGTTAATTTCTTAAATTTCGACAATAAGATTGTTTTGAGTCAACTTGTATTGAGAGTAGTTAATCTTGAGATAATGTTTTTTGTCAAATTATTTCACTGTAGAGGTTAGGCATTCAATGGCCTTAACGAAAGCTCTCTCTCTTTTGTCTACCGTACGCTAGGGTAAATTATAGCGCATTTCGAGAAAGCTCATCGAGCTGATATAAACTTTTTAGATTCAGCTTAGTAAAGAAATTTAGCTTTGCGAAAAATGAGATGAAGCTTGAACACGCATAAATAAGTTCAAAAAATAAAGTTACAAGAATCAAAGTTTGAAGTTGAATTAATAGACCGACTGTGTGTTTTTGGACAAAAAATATACATATGTACATTGACGAAATTCTTTCAAGTTTTTTCATAACTGATTCAATTTCGAGAATCAGATTTCCCTTTAATGATTAATTTAAAAGTCAGTGTTGAATTGGCTCCCCTACAAAGGATAGATGAATTAAAGGATAGATGCGCTAAAGGATAGATACGGCCAAAAACTATCAAAGGATAGATGCATCAAAGGATAGATGCACTAAAGGATAGATACGGCCAAAAGCGATCAAAGGATAGACAGCTGAATAGGTCGTTTGAGTCTGGACAAAAATGTTTAATAATCTGAATCTTCGCTGGAAAAACTGTTTTTGTGCTGCTACGGAGGGTAGGCCGGGCATGGTCTTCGCTACACGATGGCCGTGCTTCGCTGCGGTCGTGCTCGCTTCGCTCGCGGCGACCGTAGCGAAGCGGCGGCCGTCGTTCCGCTCGACATGCCCGGCTTCATCCGCAGCGGCAAAAACTTTTTTCCACGAATATACTAAAGTACAAATAAAATAAAAATCAGAACAGAAACATGAAATCAGAACAAAGATCTGAAAAAAACAAACAAAGATCAGGCACTCAACAGTTGGTACTCAACTGGACTCCAAACTTTATCTATGTTTTACCCAATTTTAGACGTGTCTATACTTTAATGGATTCTACCCCTATCTATCCTTTGGCGCATCTATCCTTTGATGCATCTATCCTTTAATCGTTTTTTGCCTTATCTATCCTTTAGCAGCTTTTGGCCGCGTCTATCCTTTGATCGATTTTAGCCGTATCTATCCTTTGATTCATCTATCCTTTGAGCGGGCACGGTTGAATTTACCGGATCAATGCGATCACACTTATTATTAGAACATCACTAACCAATCTCATCTTAGCTCATTACTCATTAGGATATTAGACACGGAATTTTAAAGTAAACAGAGAAAATTGGCGGGAACTTTGAATAATTGAGGAAAATGGGGAGAGTTTCACACATATTCCTTGTTCTGTTATTTCTGTTCTCAATATTTTATCTAAAAAATTAAATTTATAATTTTTCCATCAAATTTCTGATTCTTGAAATTTTTTCCCTATTTTTAAGGATTTTTTAAAGAAATTGTCTACCCTGTTTACCCTATAGGGTAGTCATTTTACCCGCAACTTTAACCCGCAACCTTTCCTTTTTCTTTTTTTCCCTATTTTTTCGGCGCAAGCTTTTTTCGCCTTTTTTGATTTATGGGGGGAAAGGGTTAAATAACCCGTTACCCTTGAATTTATTGTACGGGCCCATGTGGTGATATTTTTATATTTTTAACGCCTTTCGCGCCTGAGTCTTGTTCGACGAGCCAGGAAAGGAAATAGTCTTGTTAATTTTGGTCCTGGTCTTGGGGTCTGAAAAATTTTCGGGCTTGGACATTTCTGCCTCGTAATGCCCTACATTAACAGATCTATATATATAGTATAAAAGCTTCAAGTTTAGTATCTAATCCCTCCTATATATTCAATACAGATATTAAACGTGCATTCAATCCTTTTTTTGTGTTGGCCTTCAGAATAATCAAAATGGTTGTTGAAGTTGGTTAGTTTATTCTTTCCCTGTTTTCTTTTAAAATTTCTCCTTTATAGAAATCGTTATGAACATAATCGACGGTCTTAAAGAATTGGTCAATTTGTTCTTTTATGCTGGACGTCTTCTGTTTTTGTTTGTGAATGATTTCTTCAATACTCCTTGGAAATTCGACGAGCCAGGAAAGGAAATAGTTCGAAAAAGGGGTTCAGATGCACGAGGAGGTGGTGGAAGTATTATCGAAAAGAAATCTAATGATAGTGGTCCTGGTGGATTTTCGGTGGGAATTTTTAAAAATTAACAAAGATTAACAAAAAAATTTTCAGGAAATGCTTAAATTGGAAGGAGATGTTCCCCCTTCACTGCGCTTCTCTTCCCGCGCTCCACGGCCTGATCAACCCGGAGATAATCTAAAAAGTACAGGCAATGTTGCAGCTGATGACCCATTCTTCAACGTTACTTCTTTGCCAACAGCGCCAACTCCTGGAGTGCCCAGAGGAGAGCATGGTAGATTAATAGTCTTAGAAATTCTAATAAAAATATTTTTTCTCGTTTAGCGCACAAATATTCGCAGGAATATGAGACGTTGGCCTCATTGGATACGAGCACGTTGTTCCCTGAGAAAACAGAAGAGAAGAAAGATAATTAGGAAGAATATAAGAAAAAGAATATTTGTTAATTGGTTGATAAAAATGTGTAGATTGTGTTGAAATTTGTGAAAAGTTGATAAAAGTTTTTGGAGGATTTGTGAGCAAATTTTGAATGTTTATAGGACAAGAGAAGTAAAATGAAGGAGATGTTCCCCATTCCAATTCTCTATTATTGTAAAGCATAGCTGCTTTACTAGCTATTCATTAAAGCAATCCATCAGCTTTACTAGCAATTTATTTCCTAAGACTTGCAGTACTGCGTGGTGTAATGGATAATAGATCAGTCCGGTCTACTGAAGATGCTGGTTCGCTCCCAGCCGCCGAATGACCTTTTGCACTAGCTAATGCTACGCTTACATAAAAAACGCAAGACGCCGGCGGAAGACGCTCGGCGACAAGACGCCGGCGGAAGACGCAGTTTCGTGCTTACATAAAATCGGCGTCTTCCGCTAAGCGGGAAGACGCAAATCGTCAAAACGCTAGTTTTATGTAAGCACAAAACAGCGTCTTCCGCCGGCGTCTTGACGCCGAGCGTCTTCCGCAAAAAGCTGCGTTTTTTATGTAAGCACTAATTGCGGACTAAATTTATAACAAATATTTTATTGAAATTAAATTGAACAAATAATATTAAATCATTTTATCCTGCCATGATACCGATCCAACTTCAATGGTAAAATATTCTACTTAGAGGTCGGCGCGGGACGGGATCCCGACGGGATTTTCCGGGATCCCGGATTTTTGTTATTATCGGGATCATTCGGGAGGTAATTCTTCGGTTGTCGCCCCCCCTTTTTATGTTTCCCTGACCATTTTGAGCTTTTTTGCTTGACATATAATTTATTATATATCATTCGAAAGAGCTATCCGAGCTGGGTAGATTGGTACTAAGATCGGTTAGATTTGGCGATTTTGAACAAACTTATGAGGCTAAATCCTCTGTCACTAAATCCTCTTATGAGGCTAAATCTTCATATTCAAAAAAATTTAAAAGTTTGGAACTAGGAACTGGAACTAGTTCCAGAGATATTTTGGAACTTTCCCATCAGCCTCGATTTTCCCCAAAACTTTTTGTCTTTAACTATATGGTACGAGCCCTAGTCATTAAGAAATGGTCAATTTTTCATGTTTTTGGTATTATTTGATAGAGAATCAAAAGCTCTACAACATAACAAAAAATCAGAATTTTTGACCGATTGATAAAAAAGTTATGATATAAATAATTTTTTATCTCGAAAATCTCAAAAATATCGAAAAAAAAGAATATTTTTTGCAAAAAGTATACCTTTTTCAAAATCAATTTTAACCCATAAGATTTAACTTTAAAAATATAAAATTTATATTGATCGATAGAGAATGAATTGAATTTTCAAAATCTTTTTAAATTTTGAAAATCGGATTAGAATTGGCCGAGAAATGATCAAGACGCTAAAAGTTGCCGCAAAAAATTCAAACATGTTTGAATTAAAAAAAGAGACGCCGGCGTCAAGACGCCGGCGGAAGACGCAGTTTATGTAAGCACTCAAAAAAAGCGGCAAGACGCCGGCGTCAAGACGCCGGCGGAAGACGCGAGTTATGTAAGCACGCAAAAAAAGCGTCAAGACGCCGGCGTCTTGACGCCGGCGGAAGACGCAGTTTATGTAAGCACTCAAAAAAAGCGGCAAGACGCCGGCGTCTTTTACTCTCCTCATTTCCCATTATCTTTTCTGCCGCAAGACGCGCGCGTTTTTTATGTAAGCGTAGCATAAAGGAGAGAAATAGACAGCCCAGCCGCTTTACTATTTTTAATCATTTAGAAAACAAAAATTGCCTTTATTTATTCATTCTAAACTAAAATACAATCATCCAAGAAATTTATTTAAAAGTAGATATATTTAGCGCTTTGAACCGTTTTCAAAAATTAATGTTTAATATAAAATTATTCGATAAAACAAAATATTCTTCATTTGCTCGATTGAACAGTCGAACAGCTTTATTGTGCTAAAAAATTTTTTTAATTATTGGAGGGACTAAAAATAAAAATATTTTATACCTTCAACCCCTCCAACTTGCGCAGCAACATAATGAGCCGGTGGCCATTCTCTCTGATGCGGTTTTGTAGGCAAATGAGTTTGAAGAATTTCTACCTAAATGACAACATGTAGATGAAATTAATTTTTAAAATATTTTTAATCCTTATTTTTCCAAAAAATATTTTTTTGGAAAGAAAGGGAGGAGCAAAATACACACAAAAAATTTTGAAAAATAAATTATTAAAATTAAAAAATTTTTATTTTCACTTGATGAACTTCCCGCTCTTCCTGTTCAGTAGGTGGCCATTGAACTTGCATCCTACCAGCACCGAAAGCCTCAGGTTCTGATATATTTTCGGGAGGGGGCCATTGTACACCACGGACATTACTACCAGCAGCTTGTAGACGGCCCTCAGCCTTTTCATTATTTTTTAATTTAAAGATTTTGAAAATTTTTGTAAGAGAAATTTAGGTGAATAAATCAGTTAAAAATTAAGGTTTTTACTTAAAACAATTTCTTGCTTGGTTATCCACTTAAATTTTCATGTAAATCAAGTCAGTAACTAGTGATAAAAACCGTAAACACTAACTTGCTAGCCAGGGATCGCGCCGACCCGATTCCCGAAAATCGGGAATTTGGTTTTCTGTCGGCGCGATACCTAGTGCCTATTAACAGGAATAACGAGGGAATACTTTTTCACCTAAATGGTTGCCCATGTGTTTTCTTTCTAAATTTATTCCCATTTTTCTTTTATTTTTTTTTCATCCACCTGTTGACTCCCAAATTCCTCCATTCCTTCCTCTGGCGGCCATTGAACTTGTAATCTCCCTCCAGGGCCAAAACCGTGTTCAGAAACATTCTCTTCGGGTGGCCATTGAGTGTTTTTAACATTGCCAACGTCTACTTGCCGTCCCCATGGAGAGGAAATTGCCTCGGCCTTTTTAATTTTTATTTATTAATTTTTACAAAATTTTTTTCGAAAATTTGAGTACACATGGGCAACCCTCTCAACTTATAATTTTAATATTTTTTTCTAAAATTTTTCGGTACTTTTGTTGATTTTGCTCCTCCCTTCCTCTCTTTTCTTCAAAACACATTTTACTTTTAAATTAATTTTTAACAAATTTTTGATTGAAAAATAAAAACAATTAAAAGGTTAAAAAGGGTTGCCCATAAATAAAAATAAAAAAAATGGGCAAAAGAAATGGTTAAATTTTTAATTAGGTAATATAACCAGAAGTATTACGAATTTCAAGGATTTGTCTTCTCTAATAAATATAGGTAAGTCATTCGTTCTCTCCAGAAAAATTTTAGAAAAAAGACAAATCTCCAGAAAAACTCTTCCTTTTTTCTCTCCAGAAAACAGAAGAGTTTAGGGAAACCTTTTCCAAACTTGGAAAAAAAGTTTTTAAGCACTTGGAATAAGTTTTATTCCAATTTCTAAGTTTCGGTTTATCTCTTCTCCAAGTACTAAAGTTCTCCAATTTTCCATTTCAATTCCAAGTTTGGAAAGGATGAGATTTTTTTCCGGACTTTGTCAAAAACTATATTCGAGAGAGACTGTCTCTCGAATACTAAAAATTAGGGAAATTACTTTTTGAGATTACTGTACTCTCATTCTTTTTATTTTTACCTGTTTTTGTTCTTGTTCTTCAAATTCAGAAGGAGGCCATTGTACATTTAATTTTCCTCTACCAAATTCTCCATGTTCCAATTGATTCTCAGGAGGAGGCCACTGCACATTTTTAACATTTCCCCCAGCAGCTTGTCTACTCCAAGGGGCATTCCCAACACTATTCTCTTCTCCATTTTGTAATTGTTCCCCTTCCCCTTGTTTCCAGTCATCATCCCCCATTGTTTTTACTTTGTTGGCATGCCCAATTTCAATTTCTTCTTCTTCTCCATAACCTGGAGGGGGCCATAAACGGCCAGATGTTGGATTTGGAGCAATCCTTCCTGGTTGATATATTGTTTTTAATACTGGATGTTCAGAATCGTTTTCAGGTACCCAATCCTGAGCTTTTACTCGCGGGACTGATTGCTTTTCCTTTAAAAAAATTTTTTTGAAAAATTTTTTGGAAAAAATCAAGCTAAATTAACATTTTCTGAAGAATATTTATATTTTTGGGAATAAAAAAATTTTTTAAGGGATAGTAAAGAGGAAAAAGAATTTCTTCGTAAATGTAAGCCCTTAGTCAAGCTAAATTAACATTTTCGAGTCGGGCATCAAATTTTGACCCGAAAAAGACTCAGTCGAGCCGGCCCGATAAAAATGAGACCTAAAAAATGACTCGAACATCGGCCCGACTCGAAAACCCCAACCTTAAATCTAAGTAATATTAAGAATCAAAAATTATAATAGAGAATTTAAATAAAAAAAAAATTTTTTGGAAGTGCCTTTCTAAAATTAGGTATGTATTTTTATTTAAAAAATCCCTCTCTCTTTTCCCCCACCTTTTGTTCCTCTTCAGGAAATTCATTCCACTGTATTTTAGAATAACCAGCAGGTTGGGGAACTATTGTTCTCTTTAAAATAAATTTAGAAGAAAATAAAATAAAAAATAAAAAATATGCCTTAATTTCCCCTTCATAATCCAATTCTGGAGGTTGAATTTTTGTTGGCTGAATCTAAAAAAATTATGTTTTCTCTTTAATTTTTTTAAATTATAAATTTACAGGTTGATATTCTAATTGAATTCGTTTCTGTACTTGCCAAGAATTGTCATCCTTAAAAGAAATTTTTTTAATTATTTATGAATAATATAATTTATATAAACTAACAGAATATTTAATAAGACCCAAATAACTAAAGACACTTTGGGGATGATTTAATTTGAACAGAAAATTATTCTGGAATAAATTCTATTTGTTAAAAATCTTTTTTTAATTTTCGGATTTTTTCCATTATGTAAATTTATGGAAACAATATGCCCATCGACATATAGGTAGTAGATATATCGAGAGTCAAATAATTAAATGAACTAACAGTCAATCCAAAAAATACTTTCCTTACTCAAAACCGAACCTCTATTTAATTTACTTAAATTTTTGTACAAAATTTTATAAAATATTTTTTGAAAAATAATTTTATTTTACCAAAATTTTGTTTCTTTTTCCCCCCTCAATACTTAAATCTTCTTCTTCTTGAGGAGGCGGCCAAGAATGGTTTTCTGCTTTTGGATTTTTTGGTTGAAAAGGTGCGTGTGTCAAAATGGGCTTTGGTGGTTCTAAAGGTTCTGGCTCTTTAGCCAAAGGAGGGGCTTGACGTGATGGATTATTCGAAGCTATTGGAGCTTTGGTAGGCGATGTTGGGGGTGGGGCTGCCTTGGGTTGAATTGGTGTTTTTGTTGGAGGTTGGACAGGTTTTGGCTGAATTGGAGCTTTAGCTGGTTGAGCCGGGGCCGGGGATTTTGGCTGTGGGGCAGCAGCTTTTGGTGGAGCTGGAGCAGCTGCTTTAGGTTGTGCTGGGGCTGGTTTAGACTGAAAAATTTGAAAGAAAATTAAATTTTTAATAAAACAACACTCTCTAAATTTCATAATGAAGGCATTTCTGCTCTTCGGCCAGATATCTCCTTAAGAAGCTTCTACAATATAAAAGGCATGGAAGCTAACGAAGGAATTTTTAATTAACTAGCGAATAAAATAGGCGTCTATTAGAGAGGTTTATATAAACGGATTTAAATTTATTATCTTACTTGTGCAGGAGGAGTTTGAACAGCCGGTTTAGGAGTTGTGGGGGTTGGAGGGGCAGGCCTTTGTTGTTGTTGTGGAGTTAAAACTTTTTGTTGTTGTGGTTGTTGTTGAACCTGTTTTTTGGAAAGAATGGGAGGAGTTGGAGGTGTTATAAGGATTTTTAAGGATTTTGACATAAATTTATTTAGAAATTAATTTTTATCAAAAAAATATTTTTAACGATTTTTTAAAATCAATTTTTTATATTTTTCTAAAATTATTACTTAAATATAAAAAAATATCCTTTTCTCTTTAATTTAACAAATTCTCGTCACTAACTTTTTTAAAATAAAAGTCTGTCTCTTTTTTTCAACTTTTAAAAGTTTAAACAACAAAAATAAACTTTCTTCTCTCTAACTTTAGGATCAAAATATTTAAGTGTTAAACTTTTATTTTGATGTAAAAGTTTGAGAAATTTATTTTTTTGTTACTTTTTTATTTATTAAAAAGTAAAAAGAAAATGTTTGTTTGTGAGGGTTTTAATTTTGGAATTTTTTTAAAATTAATTTCAAAAATAAAAATTTACTTGTTGTTGTTGAACAGCAGCTGCTTTTTGAGCCTCTTGTTGTGCCTTTAATTGAGCAGCACGTTGTTCAGCCTGAAGCTTAGCAGCTTCTTGTTGAGCTTTTATTTGTTGCTGACGTTGCTCTTCCGCTGCCTAATATATTGAAGAATTAAAATAAATTATTTCTCAAGTCTAAACAGTCTGTGGGAGGGTGTACGAGAATAGAGACAGTCGAAAAATAACAAACTCATTAACATGAATTTTTGTTTTAGATCTTGTCTCGGTCCGATCTCTAGTATCTTCTCCCTCTTTTCAGTCAAATCACCTCATGGCATTTAAAACACTAAATCTAAAAGTGGCTGAGGGATGATCTGATAAGCAAGAACAAACACCAAGACGAGATCCCAAACGTATAACTCGAAAAAGCAAATGACTGCTTGGATACTGATACATAGAAGCTGATTCTCGTTTATTCGTTACTCTACTCAATTTTAAAAATATTTAAAAAAGGAAAAAGCAAAGGGAAAAATATTTATTTTAGATAATGGAGGTAACATTTAACCCTTTAAAAACTCGCCAATTTTTGTTGTTCCTGAAATTGTTGTTGTTGCTGTTGACGTGCAGCTTCTGCCCTAGCACGCGCTTCTTCTTGCATTTTTATTGCCTCAGCTCTAGCTTTTTCGATAGCCTCTTGATGACGTTTACGAGCCGCTTCAATAGCAGCCTCCTGGGCTTCAGAGACATCTTCGTTTCCAGCAACTTTTGTTGTTGTACTTGTTGTTGTGACTATTGCTTGTGGGGCTGTTTTAGCTATGGGAGACTTGAAAAAAAAATTTTTTGGAAAAAATTTTTTTGGGAAAATTTTTAAAGATAATTCAATACATCTGTGGCTGATTCTTGGCCATAACCACTAGAAGCATCCGTAACAACCATTCTAACTTGTTGTTGACGAACGGGTACAGGCTCGTCTTCTTCTTCCTCCTCTTCAGAACTGTTCCCGTGCTCCTCTTCTGGCATTGCTAAAATAAATTTTGAAAAATTTTAGAAGTATTTTTGAGTGAAAAAAAAATAATAAATTATTAAAGTACACTTGATAAAAAATTTCTCTATGTAACATATGTATATCTACAAATAATGCAGTTGAACCTCATTTTCAGACACCCCTTGGGACTGAAAAATTTTATCCTATAATGAGATGTATTTTAAGTAGAGGGTATCGCCTAGATAGCTCCCCAATCTTATGAACGATATTGTGGTGTATTTTGTACGTAAAATAGAGGTAAGCAAATGTATTTTAATTTTTGTACTTTAACATTCACAATTATGACAAGCTTTCAAAACTTTTTAAAAGTAATTCTATCCTAAGGAAATTTTTTAAATGGTAAAAATAAAATAATTGAGTCAAAAATTAAGCAGCCGTTTAATCTTGAAAGGGACTACCAACAACAAAAAAATTGAGTCGATTTTCGGACCCTTTAAAAGCTTAAACAAATGACTAATGCTATTAACTAGATTGAGCGTCAATAAAATATTCTTTCAAGGCTTTTCTTTATTTGTTTTTATTTTCTCTAACAAGCTTCCAAAATATTTTTATAAAACCAATTTTAATTTTTTTATTTCTCTAACTTTTATTTAAAAGTCTTTAGGCAATTTAACAATTAGCAACTGTATATATTTTTAAATAAAAGCTTTTAATCCCGTCAATATTCCTTCAAGTCTAAAAAAAATTTTTTCCTTTCTCTATATTTTATAAATCAGCTGTGAATCTCTCAAAATTAAATAGTCTTATTTCCCTTTACTCTCATTTATTCAATTGCTCTCTCTCTAAACTTTTTTCTTTTACTCCCACGCAGACTGATCAAAGTGAGAAAAAAATAATTTAATTGAAAGGAAAACTATTTTAAATTAATGTAAAATTTAAACAAAAGATATCGAAAATACAAAATTATCTCTAAGCTTTTCATAGACAAGCATTTTAATACCATCATGAGTACTAGTACAGTTTTCGTTAATTAAAATATTTTTTCAAAAATTCATTATTTTTCTCGAAAGAGCTCAGCGACCCAACTAACTTCAAAATTAGCTTTATTCAATTTTAAATAAAATTATATATTTTTATTGTTCAACGTTTAACTGCACAAATATTACCTAGTCAATAGAGATCGATCTCCAGACTGGATTTTTCATGGATCCAGATCAAGAATCCTGTCTAGGTTACTACCGATCTCTACTAGTTAATTAATACAAAAAAGTAAAAAAAAAATATTAAAAATTTAATTAATTTATATATCATCAATTCCCGCCTTTCCCATTTCCCAAATTAATTCTAATAAATATTCTAAACATTCCAGCATAACTTTAGCTTTTTGCCAACTTGGACCCAAAACAAATAATCCGTGTCGTCTAACAAGAAATGCTGGGGAATGGGGATATTTGTCTATTGCTTCTTTCAAAATTGGCTAAAAAAATTTTTTAAAAATTAATTTTTTTCAAAGAAAAAAATCACTCTTACAAGTAAATCTTGCTCTTGTGGTTTATTTTCAACAATTGGAAGAATAAATTTGTCAGTATTTTGAAATGAACGCCAATTGCGTCGATCCATTACACCTTTAAGCATTTCTTGATTTGTAATTTCTAAACAGTTGCGTTGGGTATAGAGGACAGTAACTGGGAAAAAAAATAATTTTTTTGAAGAATTTAAAGAAGTTCTTAAAAAATTCCTTGTGTAATATTCCTATTTATCCCGAAAGTAGACAAATTGAGAAGTGACGGGGGCTCGTTCCTCTTCGACCATATGGGAAGTTAAAGGGCAATGGATTGATAATAAAATATTGGGAGTGTGTGAAGGTTTTGGATTGTTACTTTATCGTCCTTGATAAAACATTTTTAAAGTAAACTCAAAAATCTTGGCTCAAACAAAATCTAAGAATCGGAAAAAGAGATGAGAAAAGAAAACTTTCTCAGATATCCAATAACCAAAAACCAACCCAAATTTGCATATTTTGAATGTGTATGAATAACACAACTAGTTCCAGGCGTTGATTGTAACAAAAGTAAAAATAGGGGAGTACAAGCACTCGGCCTCAAATGTGTTGGTCCAAAAATAGGATTTGTAGATAAACAAATATCATCACAACGTTCTTGAATACATTTCAAATCAAAAGCAAAGAGGTCCTGTTCTGTTAAACGTTCTTTTGGGACAGAAGAGGGGGAAACAAGTAAAAGATCCTCTCCATTCCCCAAAGATTGAGTAATTGCAGCCATTCCCCCAGAACTTCCCAACATCCAACCCTGTCCAAAAAATTGAGCCATTAATTCAACAAAAAGATGGGCATTCATTGATTCCATTTCTGTTTGTTGAATTTGTTGCATTAATGTGCCTATTGTTGTTGTTGAACACTAAAAAAATTTTTTTTTGTCTTTTTTAAAGTAAAAAAAAATTATAATTTTAATTTAATCTAATAAAATATTTTCCGCATTCCTAATCTTTAAAAAAAAGATAAAAATGAAGGGAAGAAAGTTTTAGTTAAAGATAAAAGAAAATTAACCAAGTGAGAAAAGATAAAATAAAATGTTTGTTTGTTTTTGTATTGTACAAAACGTGAAAAAAAAGGAAAAATAAAAATGTGTTGAAAAGAACAGTTTTTATAATTGTTTAAAAAATTCTTTACAAGTTAAAAAAAATTCCTTTTCCTTTTAATTTAAAATAAAAAAATTCTTTTAATTTTTACCTGTTGTTCAAAATCATCAAAAGTTGAGTGTTCCCATTCAGATTTAACATTAATTAAATTTCCTTCAGATTTTAGACGTTTTGTTTGTAAATCATTTTCTTTGAGACTTTGCTTTCTTTTTTGTGTTGGAATTTTTGTTCGCACACGGATAATGTTCTTAAAAGAATTTTTAAAAATATTTTAGAATAAAAGAATTTTTAAAAGGTCACGCTCCGATTTGGACAAAAAATATGAAAAAAGACTAAACACAAAAACTACCTAACTCATCACTTTAATAATTTTTTAACAAATTTTAAAATATTTTTTTCCCAGATTTTTTCAGCTCCTTTCACCTGTCAGTCATTTTTCCCAAACTCACCAAAATCGGAAGCGTGGCCTTAAAATATTCATTTTTTAAAAATAAATATAAATATAAAAACACCTCTTCCCCATCCAAATGTGTTGATGAAGTATTGGTTATTGGGTCATATGTTTGAGGATGGCAATGTTGATTAGTAACTGTTACTTTATTGTCTACATCTGTCACAGCAAAACCTCTACATTTAATTTTTCTTCGTAAAATACACCCCCAATAAATTCGGTTTTGAGAGGCTATACTGTGTTTGAAATAAGTGTGGCCTTCAAAAACTAATTTATCTGAATCTCTTTTAGTTTTAATAAATGAAGCCATTCTAAAAAATTATATTAAAATATTAAAGTGATGAGTTAAGTATGTCTAGTGGCTATGACCATATCGGAGAGAAACAAATGAAAAAAATTAAAAAAAAACAAGAAAAATGAAGGGCAAAGGATAATTTGTGGATAATTAGAGATTTGAATCTGACTGATATGGGATCACCAGCCAAAGAATTTTAGCTAAAAATCTACAGATTTTGACCAATGAAAAAAATTAGTCGAAATTTAATTAGCAATTTGATATTCGCAAAAATAGAAAAGACTTCAAAATTATTAGAGAGCGAGCTGGATCTGGAACCAGACCTTGATTTTTTCTGGATCCAGAGTCCAGAACAAGGCATTTTTCAGAGTACCTTGATTTTTCCTTGATTCAAGGTCAAGAATCTGGTCAAGGTAACCAACCAAAATCAAGGTCAAGATTTTTTGAAATTCCCGCTCTAAAAATTAAAATCAATTTTAGAAAATCCACAACTAGTCCTTTGCCGAAAAACGAAATTTTAAACAAAATAAACTTTGTGATCTCCAATTATTAAAATATTGTCCCCATTGCAGTATTCATCATGAGGAGTGACCAAACTTAAAAATGTCCGTTCAGCATCAGCAGCAGTGTGAACACGTCCCTTACAACCAATAGAGCGATTTCTGTCACAACGCCAAAACATTTTTTCACCTGTGGCGTTTTGGCCGTCTCTAATGTAGGAATAACCGTCGTGACAATATTTCTCGCGGTTCTTTTTAGAAATTTGGGATGTACTAAAGAAAATAAAAATTCAATATTTTAAAGTAAAACTGTATAAAAAAACCTTTGCGATAAGGAGTTGTTAATGGGCCCATCAATGTCTACCACATCAATAATTGATTCGTCGTTTCGCTCCTATGAACCATTAGAATTAATTTAAAGAATAAATAATAACCTGCTTTGGAATATTGGAAACAACCTAAATTATTAAAATTGATATGAGATTTTAAATTTTAGTAGGAAACAGAGGGATGATTTTCTCGATGTGATAGGTTTAAGGAATTCAAGCCAGGAAATAAGACAATCGAAATTCCGTCAAAAGAACTCAGTCACATAAATGTGACAACCTTATATCTACAGAATGGTCAGGCTTCTTACTTTCTTCCATCCCAATTGCCCTTCTATATTTTGCCTATAAACAATTAAAACAATTTTATTCCCCCTTGGATGGAAGTAAAGAAAATTGAAGAAAGAAGTCTGACCATTCTGCATAAAGGAAGAAACTTGGGGAGGAAAAATGGGGTCTGTCAGGTTCACTATTGCGCAACCTTATCCTATATTAGGGAGTCTATTATTAAAAGTTAAAGAACCTGATTTTGCACTCCACTTTGAGAAATTCGTAATAAAAGATATTCATTTTGATGTTTGTGCATTAAATGACTCCATAAACCTTTAGTTGATTTATCACCTCTTATAAGCACTTGATTACAAATTTTGCAGGAAACATTTAATGAATTTGTCTCCTGCTCAAAATGAACCCAGGCTATCGACTGCTTGTATTGCATTTGATTTCTAAAAATAAAAAAAATTAAAAAAAACAGCAAAAGAATTAGAAACTCGGCAGGGTAAAGCCCAAAACGGCGCAAATCTTATTTGAAAAATTGCCTACAGAAAATTTGTTTACAGCCTAAAGGGTTGTTTGTTTGGCATTCTTGATCGTGCCAGCCGCAATCAATTTACTCAAATCTTTTACCGAAATGAGCCGAGCTTTAACAATCTTTTTTGCACTGAAACATCCGTTTTTATTTATTATGGTAAGATATCATTCAATAAATGGAGGTCGAGAGAAAAACAGTTTTTTGCGTTACACCATGTTTGGGCGCCAGTTTTTCGTCGCTTTTCTTTTTCGTCGCACAGTTCACGACGAAAACATGCTGCGCCGAGAAATTCTTAAAATTTTTTTTATTTTTGTAGTATATTCTCATGGACAATTTAACTTTACCAGAAAACAATTCTTCAGTTCAACTATTGTTTTCTCCCCATTTTTCTTCAAATGATTTTATTTTTGCTGAAGTGGATAAGAATTTAGTTAATTATCTTTTAAATGGAAATGAGTATATTTTTAATTTTTTAATTTTTTTTTTAAATTTAATTTTAGAATTTATATACGAGGATACAATTCTGATGAAATTGTTTTGTGTACAAAAACAGAAACATTTTGTTGTAAAGAACTTGAAGTTTCAAATTTTTTGCTTATTTTAGAGGATACAAATGCCTTAAATGAAGTGGACTTATCTGAAGAATTATCAATTTCGAACAATTTGGTATTTATTTTTATTTTTTAGAATATCTAAAATATTAAAGAATATTATGTCAGTTACAAATAAATTTCTTGAAACTTCACGGATTCGACCAAATTTAACTCAAAAATTGAAAGAATTATTTAATGACCATAAAATTGAATTGTTTACAAAGGATGGATGTTCTGCAAATTTTGGGTAATTTTTTTTGGAAATTTTTATCTTTTAAATGTTTATTTTTAGAATTTCTTTGGAAACTATTTTGTGTTGTATACAAGCTAGTGAAGAAGAATTAATCAACAAATTGGGAGAACTCCTTGTTATTGAATTAGGTTATTTTTTATTTTTTTAGTTGTTAAATTTTTTTATGGAGTTGTCTTAAGACAATTTACAGTCCTTTTTAAAAAAAATATGCCAACCATATCTTTTGGATCTCCTTCGGTAGCCAGTTTTCATCTCTCCTTGCCTGTTTCTTTTCCCATTTTTAAGCGATTTTCCTGTTTATTTTGAATTTATTTTTTTCAAATTTTAGAGGGAAAATTCTATTGGATAAGCAACGAATATATTGTGAAGTTTATTGAAAAAATTGCTGAAGCTGTTGACAATGCTGGTAAAGATGAAATTTCATACTTTTCAAAAGATGATTTGCTTCAACTTATTTTTTTGGAAAATATACAGATGGAGACAATTGACTGGGTTTTGAACAATTTTTGTGATAAAAATGGTTTTTGGTTTAATTTATATTTTTTGGGAGTCAGGCCTGTAACTAGGATTTTTTCTGTTCCTACCTGGTTACGGGCCTGTTGAGAGTACCCATGTTTCTTTAAGTCCGAATGTGGTAAAATTTTTGCTAAAATATTTGCTTAAATAGCCAAAAAATTTGTAAACGGTCAGTTTTTAACATTAATTTCTCAAATAATATTCTGTTTTATTTTTACATTTAATTTCATTAATAATATCTTTTTTTGTAAGTTGATGGCAAATATTCTTTTAATGAATCTAAAATATCAAGAATTTACATTGAAAATCTTCTTCGTCCATTGCCTGACAAACCTTTGGATTTTGAAGATTTTGAATTAAAAATAAATAATTTATTACCAAATCAGCTTTATTTCAAAGAGGAATATTTATCTGGACTTGGAATTGTTGAAAATTCTCATTTTCGAGGAAAAGTTGTAAATAAATTAATTTCAACAGATTTGCCTTTAGATTTACAAAAACGGTTATTAAATTTATTTTAAATTATTCAAAAACTCCCAATCTCATTTAGATTGTCAATTCTTTTCTCTAAAAAAGAAAAATGGAAGAAAGAGGAAATTCAACCATATCTTTTGGATTATTGTTTAGATCCGGCAAAAATTGAAGAATTTTTAATGAAAAATTGTAAAATTGTTGGAAGTTCTACTGAACGTTTTTATGTTTATAAACAATTGAGTTTTTAATTTTTTGAATAAATTTTGGAATTGAAAAAAGTTTAGGTAATATTGAACCGGATAGACCTCTTTTTTTCCCTCCCCATTTTCCCCTATATTTTTGTAAAATGGTCAGACCTTCCATCCAAATTGCCTTTTTGAGAAGACTCATTTTTTCAAATTTTGGCATGTACTTGCACTTGTATAAAATTAAATAATCCTTTTAGTATGCAAAAATTAGAAAGACAATTTGGATGGAAGAAAGGAAAAAGTCTGAACATTTTACAATAAATATAGGGGAAAAAGGTTGTCTGTCCGTTTCAATATTTTTTTTTCGTTTTCAATATTTATGGGGGAAAGGGATTTTACCCACAACTTTTCTTTTCCCAATCTTTTCGGCCCAAGCTTTTTTCGCTTGCGCCAATATTACTACGATTTATTTTTGTTTAAAATGTATTATTTACGATTTAAATATTTTAGTTTTATTTTCTCACAAAATTAAAAATTTATTTTTAGCTTTAAAATTGACCTTTTATTTTTTTCCTCATGTCTAAAGATCTTTTTAGTAAGTCAAAAATAGAATAGCTTAATTTAAATATTCTTTTTAGTTGAAGATAAAACTCCCCTTCCTAAAGAAGGATATGTTGACTTTTTCTATGTTGGAGCAAAAGATGTCAATAAATGTTTGAAAGTTGCTTTTGCTAAAGTTGTGATGGAAGGATTGAATGTTGAAAAAATGTCTCCTGAAGGGGAGGACCATAAAAGAAGTGATTATGCTATTTATGTGGAAAATACAAATGCAAGAGATTTGGAGAAAAATAAATGAGGTTTGAATATTTTTGATTGTTAGTTGACTTTTGGGATATAATACCGTTAATTATCTATTTCCTTGTATCTTATTAAACATTCGTATTTGAGAGATTAATTTATGTTAAATTTTCAGATAATTAATGATCTCCGATTTTATATGGTTGCCTGAATCTTGATAAGGTTAAAGAACCTTAAATCGACTTACAAAAAAATTTTGACGCTTTCATTTATAATTTATTTTGTACATAACTTTTTTTTAAGTTTTGAACGTTTTGTATTTTAAATAAAATTTTATAAAGGAATTTTTTTGTTGCTTTAAAGATTATTTTTCTAATTATATATTTTTTAAATTTTAATTCTTAATTGTATATTTAATTAGAATGGATCATCAAACTAAATTATTGGTGACAAGTATAACAAATTTCTATGAAACCACTTCTGAACCCTCCAGAAGAGAACTGGGCAATATTTTGGAGAATTTTCGTCAAAGTATTTTTTATTTGTTTAATTTTTTCATTAAATTTAATTTTTTAGGTAAAGGCTCGTGGCGTTTAGCAAGTAAGTTTATTTGAATTTTTTATTGAAATGACTATTCCGAGTTTTAATTTCTTATTTTTCGATATAATTTTTCCTACGGAGGATTATTTTCTTTTAAAAGATTACTCTTAGATTATTTGAATCCAGTTCCTTAACTTCTACTCTTATTTAATCTATTTTAAAAATTCTTTAGTTTCCATTATCGACGATTCTAATCCTGTAAACGTCCAATTTTTTGGTGCAGAAACTCTTTACTTTGTTATTTCTAAAAAATTTGATGAAATTCTTGAAAGTGTTGAAAATGTTTGCTAAAATTATTTTTAAATAAATTCTCTAAATTTTTAGTCAGATGAATTAAAAACATTTTTTCTTCAAAAATTGTCTTCTAGTGCTCATTCTTTGGCCCATTCTGTTTTAAATAAACTTTCTGCTGGATTGGCACTTTTTATTTTGAAATGTTTACCTGATATTTGGAATGATCCAATTATTGAATTACAATTATTTTGGTCCTGTCAAATTGAATTGCTTTTAAGGTTTTTTAATTAAAAAAATTTTTTAATTAGAGATGTAGCTCCTTTTAATTTTTCAGAAAAATTTTGGGGGATTTTTTTGAAAATTGTAATTGACCTTGTGAAAGTTTTTAGATTTCCTGACCGATTTTAAAAATTTTTGTAGATTCTCTAGTGCATATTCTTTTCTCTAATTTCCTTACATTAATCAGTGATGTCAGTAATTAAAAAAAATTTTTTTAACTAGCCCGCTGTTTGCATTTTAAAAATCCTCAACTTCCCCTTAATGCTCTATTTTTGTCTAATTCCTAAAAATTTTATATTAGAAATCCAAAAAACTTTAACTTCCAAGCCATCATTTTCAAATTTGTTTTGTTTTAAAAATAAATTTTTTAGAGTTCTAGCTGAAATTTCAACAGAATTCCATCACCTCAATGTCTCTTTAGATCACCGCCAAAGTATTAAAACAGAACTACAGAAATCGACAAAAGTTTTTCAAAAATTATTTAATAATTTTAATCTTAAAAAAATTTAAAGGAAATAGTTAAATTAGTTCAACAAGTTTTGGGAGATAATGATTTGTCTTGTTCTGTAAGGAATGCTGCTGTTGAATGTATTGAAGGATGGCTGAAATTACCTGGGGCAAATTTGCTAGATTTTCTTTCTGTTTTCGATGCTTTATTTAATAATATTAGTAATGACTAGTAAGTTGAATTTTTTAATTTATTTTTTTATTTAAAAGAACGGGAAGGTTTTAATTTGAAATATTTTTTGTCCTATAATTTTTTAACAATTTAAATTGGGCCAACAGACAAACTCTTAACCTTGCCACATTATTGATACAAAAATATAGAATTTGATTCTGCTTATTAGTTGAGTTATTAACAAGACATTTGACACATTGCCGGTTGTCAAACAGCTTTTTCCTCCATTAGGAACATTTATTTGAATTTTTTATGAGGCGATTTAAAACTTCTAAAATTGAGAAATTGCCTCAAGATTATAATATTCTTATCTTCATAATTTTTCAGCTTGGGTTTAACTCGAATTCTCGATACAATCAAATCAAACGATGAATTAAGAAATTTACCTCGTCTTTTGTGGCAATTAATTAGTGCATTAACTCAAATTATTTTACCTCAAATTTTAATGGAATTGGACTTTTTACAAATTGGGTCTGAACAATTAATGGAAAAAATGGAAGATTTAACACCGTTAATTTGTACAATTGTTGAATTTGGACATGAATATGCAAAAAATATTGTTGATTTTGTTTGTAAAAATTTTAATGAACAATTGGTTATTGAAGTTTATTCGTAAGTTTTTTTGAAGTTGAACCTTTTTTAAAATAAAGCTTTTTGATTCGGGATTTTATTTGTATCACCTCATCTCACAAATAATCCCATACACTTGTCCTAGCAATCCCAGTCCTTGCATTTATGGGGTGAGAAGGGAGATCGTGATTTTTGAAAAGCCTGGACCTGTTCCTGGGTTCTGGTTTGATTTGTTGACCCGGACTGGATATTGACCTTTAGTCCAGGAAAAATTCGAAAGGTCAGAAAATGCCTGGCCTGGACTCTGGATACAGATAAAACCCAGGCTTTGGTCTAGAATAGCTCGACACTAGTGAGAATGGTACGTTTAATTTATTCTCTTGCAATAATTGTACCGAAGTGGGTTTTTTAAATAAAAGTAGTGTAAAGAAAGAAATTCCAGAATGAAGCTCTCTTAACAAAATTTTGTCATCTTACCCCTTTAATTGACTGAAATATTTTTATTTTTTTCTAAAAAATATTTTTAAAGAAAACTTTGTGCTTTCTTTTTGTACATTTCAACATATCCTGGTTTATATCCAATTCAAGAATGTATTTCTGATTTACCTGAACCTTGGTGGCGTTCTTTAAGAGAAGAATTACTTCAATTGGATGAAAGTTTCAATTGGAGTTCAAATAAATTAATTTTGAAAAAGCAATCAATAAAAATATATTTACAATTATTAGAATCTGTTTCTACAAAATTTATTTATTCTGAACAAATAAATTCTTTAAATAAAGAAAATTTTGAAAAATTCGAAAAATATAGAAATTTTGAAAGAAGTGATGTTTGTATTAATTCTATTCAAATTGCACCAAAAGAAACTGTTGAATTATTGGCAAATAAATTGAAAGCTTCTCTAGATAATCGTGATATTGTTGGGTAAATTGATTAATTTAATTAATTTTTTTAAATTTTTATTTTGTTTTTTAGTATGGAATCAGTTATACATCTGTTGACAGGTTTTTAATGATTTTGACTTATTTTTATAGATATTTATAAATCTTTTTTTTTTAAATAAACGGACAATGTTAGGAGGCTGTGAGCGTAGAATATCCCTTCATACGCTTTTATTTTTTGATAAGCTTTTCACCGACTTTGAAATTTATATTTATAATTTTATATTCCCAAAGCCATTTAGGTATTTTAATAAAATCGGGATTTAAGTCGACCGTTTTGTTCAGAAATGAATTTTTATCATAAAAGGGCCAGCCTTTTTCTAATAGCTTAAATTTTTAAGAGGCTGCCGATTTTTTACAATCAAACCATTTGGAAATGTTTTTGCCTTCCTTTTCTCAGCATGTTAATTTAGAAGAATGGGAATTACTTCAAATATCAAAAACTGATTTGTTTTACTTTTCTAAAACATATTTACGATTTATTCGAGCAATTGAGCATTTATTAAATAATTGTTTTGATAGGAAATGTGCAATTCCAAATATTGTGAAAAATATTCTCACAATTTTAAAATTGTCTGATTTGAGCAAATCTTCTTTTGAAACGTTAATTGTGCTTATGAAAAGTAGAGAAGATTATATTAAGGTTTGAATTTTTATTAGTAGAAATTATTTAGGGTTTGAAAAATAATTGATTTCTTTCTCCCATTTTTTCCTATTTTTACCTGATGAATTTCAAAAATTGTTTGAAAGTTCAGAAATAATTCAAAATTGAGACAAGGAGCCATTAAAATTCATAAAAATTTTAATTAATTTAAGAGCGTTATCGATCAAATAATTATTGGTTGCTATACATATTTTATCGATGAATCTTATTCTGCTGATTTGCGTATTTTTTCTATTCGCTGTTTTGGAACTGGACTTTCATTTAAGAATAATCAAACAATTATTGTAAATATTTTTGTTAGAAAAAAAAATTTTTTTTCAAAATTTTTAGGAAAAAGTTCAACATTTAATATTTCCTTGGCTTAAAGAATTGAAAAATTTATCAAATCAAACGCCAAAAACGGAGGGGTGGTTAGACAGAATTAATTTTGAATTGAGTATTTTGGCTAGTTTATTGGCTACTTTACATAATTCAAATAATTCTTGTATAGAAATTGAATCGCCTGTTAAATCTATTTTAAAACAATCTTTGCCTCTTTTTAATAATTTACTTTCTGCAATTGAATATCCTTCTGAAGAAATTATTGAAAAGGTGATTTTAGAGAAATAAATATTGAATGTATCTGGTAGGGTGGTTCACGACCAGTTTTAAAGCCGAAAATTTTGAGTTTTGCCAAAAATTAACCATTTTTACAAAATTAAAAAACTTAAAACGCAATTTTTATAAAATCATGGGATAAACCGTTATCCGAACCGAGACCTTTTGGATATCGCCAACCTTAGTTGGTGAAGAATATTTAATATTACCTTTTAGATACATCTTTGTGTTAATATCTTTTAAAATATAATTTTTTTAATTTTAAGATTTGTGCAGTTTTAGAAGCGGGAATTTTATCTTTATATACAAATGTTTCACCTCTTCTTGAAAATTATTTGAATTTTCTCGATGCTATAATTACAAGTAATCCTGTGCCTGCTTGTGAATTGGCTAAAAGACTTTTTTTAGTAATATTTATTTTAAATTAAAACATTAGTAACATATGTAACCTCGTTCTCTAACCAAATCTTTCTCTGTTTGCCTTCTTTACCTATGAA